CCGAACGATCAGTTTAGCATCAATTGTAGGCAAATTACTGGAAGCAATAATTTCAAACTCTATTCGAAATCACCTGGAGAAGTACAAGTTGATCAATGATTCCCAGCATGGGTTCAGAAGTGGGCGTTCGTATCTGACAAATCTATTAACATTCTTTTCAGCTGTTTTCTAATTAGTGGACAACGGACACGATTTTGATTAGGTATACCTCGACTTTAGCAAAGCCTTCGACAGAGTCCCCCACGAAAGACTAATGCGAAAAGTGGAGGCTCACGGCATTGGTAGAGATATTCTAAAATGGATTAGTGCGTGGACAGGAAACAGTGAGTAAGCATTCCTGGCACTAAATCCTATTTGGGTAATATCACTAGTGGAGTACTCCAAGGCTCAGTACTTGGACCATTACTATTTATTATATACATAAACAACAAAAATATAGGCGTAAACAGCAACATCAGTAAGTTTGCTGACGACACTAAAATAGGGCGTGTAATTAAATCTGACGAGTACTCCGCAAAGCTACAGGAAGATCTAAAAAAAATTTTTTCATGGTCTGAAAAATGGCAGATGCAATTTAATGTGTACAAATGTAAAGTACTTAGTCTAGGCCCTAGACTAAATACTTTACATTTGTACACTCTAGGCCCTAGACGAATCATTGGAAAATGCATAATGGAGGTGATCAATGACAATGTCAGGGTAGCAGATATTTAAGCAGCGTAATTGTGATGCTGCCTTCAACATAATCAAATACAAGGTTACACTGCACAACATCAAGATCAGGTGTCCAAGCTTTGCAATGTGTGTTGAAAACACCTATAGGAACCCATCAAACTTCTATATTACAGCTTCAATGCCCAAAGAGGAGAGATATCACCACACAGTCAACTGAAGGAACAACGCAGGGGGACCCAGTAGTCATGGCAATGTGTGCACTAGGCCTATCCATGCTCCAAAATACAATAAACTACAGGAGCAGGAAAAGTGGAGGATGTAAAAAAGTGGTGGGATCTGGTAACATCACATGGTCCACAAATAGGGTACCACCCAAATGCCAGCAAGTCCTTCCTCATTGTGACGCCCTTACTCGGTGGCCAACGACTCCTAGGTGCAGTAATCGGCACGAATGATTTCAAGACGGAGTACACAACGGGAAAGGTATATGTGTGGGTGAAGGAAATCCAAGCTCTATCTGACTTTACTAAAATTGAGCCACGCGGCTTTGCGGCATTCACCCATGGAGTCTAGCATCACTGGAATTGTCTGATGTGCACTATCACTGATATCAAAACCCTCCTCGTCCCTTTGGAAGAAACCAATAGGACTTCTTTTATTTGAACACCAATGAAAAGCCTTTACTTAACCCCAGCAGAAAGGTCACTCCTCGCACTACCACAGAGACAGGTAGGAATGAGAATGACTAATCCAGAGGAGCTTGCTGCCACTGAACATCATAACTCAGATAAGATCACGGCAGCACTCAATGAGCACATAATAGCTCAAAATGCAGCAAGTGAGAAAGATTTAGGGGTAATAATATGACTCTTAAACCAAGAGAACAGTGCGTATTAGCTCGAAACAAGACTAACAAAGTACTTGGGTTCATTCAAAGGAGTGTTAATTACAAGACTAGCGAGGTTATCCTAAAACTATACCTTGCGCTTGTGAGACCTCACTTGGATTATGTGGTTCCTGGTCACCGTACTACATATTGGATATAGAATCCCTAGAAAGCATTCAGAGGAGAATGACAAGACTAATCCCGGGCATTAGGAACCTTGAGTACAGAGACAGATTAAAGCATCTTAATTTGCACTCCCTCGAGAGACGTAGAGTGAGGGGCGATATGATCGAGGTGTACTGTATACTTGGAAGTCAGGGCTAGACTAAGGTGTACTCAAACTATCCAACCAGGAGCGAACTCAAAGCAATAGTTTTAAATTAGACAAATTTAAATATTGGCGCGAGATGGGTAAACACTGGTTTGGAGAGTAGTGGATGGGGTCGCGGAAGGGGGACGTGATTGCTGCCCGTATCATCATTGGGTATGACTTTGCTTGGGAGATTGGTATCCCCACATCCCCTGAGCAACGCTCTTGTGCGTTATGCAGAAGACCCGACAGCCGCACCCTTATTCACTACCTCCTAAGATGTCCCCACACACAACGCTTCCGTGACGCCTGCTGGACAACCACTCCACGACCCCCTGACGGAGACACGATGATCCTCCCAATACTGGCCAGATATTTTGTAAATAATATTGATTATGTGTTAAAGGAACATCCTTCCTTCCTTAGGCTTTAGTAAGCCCCTTTATAATATTTATACTGTATATACTTTTCACACTTGCCAGATGATTCTGGTGTCATTGTACAGGGGTACCTAGTGACAGCACTAGGATCCCGCTTCCTCTATCAAGGAATAAACAATTGAAATTGAAATTGAATTGAGTAGTGGATGAGTGGAACAAGTTACCGAACTTCAGCATTGAATCGAAGACGCTGGATAGCTTGAAATATAGGCTGGACAGATATATTGGGACGATAGAGGGTGGTTGTAACTCCAGACAGGAGCTGCCATGCACAGGCCAACCGGCCCATTGCAGACTCCTTATTTTCTTATGTTCTTACGAGCGATAGGGTTTAAGTGTAAACGAGGCTGCAGTCTCCTCCATTCTTATGTTCCTATGTGCATATGGGTGCTTGGGAGAATACTGAACATAATATACATGTGCGTCTGTAAGTCAATACCTCACCATCCTCACACACACCAAGGTACAGTATTTAATTCAACATAATTATTAAGTTGTTAATGTTTCATCACAAGAACTATAAAACCATCAACAACGAGGCAACAACTATAGCACATTAATATCTCAAAAACAACGTTCAAATACTGGCCTGAAAAGCCGCCATGGCAGGAGTCGTTACTCTTAAACAGACGCTGACGTCACGACAAAAACAAAAACAGCGGCGACCAAAACATCATGTTGACGGAGCTGTGTAATGACTAGTGATGTTGAGTGGGGGTGTAGACCTTCATGATAGCGGTGTAAGTTTGTCTGGCTGTGTTTGTGTGTGGGCAGTGTGTAACACACACACTCAGAAGTCAGGACCAGTCCCTGGATTAGTCTGGTTACCAAGGTGCACAGGTCTTGTGAGGGTGCTTGGGGGGTGGGGGGGGTCGGGGCTGTGGGAAGGGGGTCCTGGGGGGCAGTAGGGAGGGGCTCCTGGGGGGTGGTGGCTTCTAGTTACGTCGACTTACTGTATGTCTGATCTTTTTCTCTGTTCTACTGACGGGGGTCATGTCTGTGGTTAACTGTTCACCAGATACTCTTTCTGCAGGTTTGTGTGTTCTTATGTGTCAGGAGTTTAGATGATTTATCTTCAAGTGTAATAAGCTAGGGGGACTAATCTTCAGCTGAAGTACTTATTCCTCGCATCACTTAGAATAGATATATCACTCGCAGGTAAAGTAACTGTGTGGCAGTTTAAATTTAGCGAGATAAATACGTCCTCATCATCAGTCAGGGAGGAAAGCTATTGTACGAATCTTATAGAGCCGAGCCTCGCAGTGTTGCCAGGTTAGTGCTAACTACTTAATATAACATTTCTTTCTGGGTCTTCTGCCTGGTAACTGTAATACCATGTCTGGATCATCTCAAGGTTAACTCCCAGCTTATTTCACCTCAAGATTAAGTACTCCAACACCAACCTAACCAAATCCTAAACTAATCCCACTTTAACTTAAACTAACCAAATCAAACCTAATCTAGCCTGAACTGACTTAAGCTAACTTAACCTGATCCAACCCAAACTAACCTAGCCTAGCGAAACCTAACCTAACCCATCTTAAACTAACCTAACCAAATTTAACCACCAGGTAGCATTAAGGAGTTTAATAATGTGGTAAAGTACGCTGGGGTGGAGTCAATGTTCATATGATCTGATTAAGGAATGAATGTGGACAGGTGTGATGACTGAACTGGGGAAGATTAGCAAGAAGCAACTTGGTATAGCTATATCAGGGCGTCAACAATGGCCAAGATATTTCTGTTGTAACATTCTGCTTATATCGTGTTACTGCTTACTCTGTGGGTGCGCGTGTGTGTGTAGACAGAGACAAAAAACAAAGAAAGAATGAGATGGACGGAGACGATAGCGAGACATAAGCGTACAATGTGTCCGAACAATACTACGTGGCAGAGATAAGGTATGAGGCGCCTCCCTGATACCACCATCTACAGATACTGAACTATTTCTCCGGGTTGGCTCGTAATGCCTGGGCAAAGTAATACGGGATACCTAACCACGTGAAGCCTAGCTTATTTCACAGGAAACTTAACCTCTCTAACACTACCTGGGGGGTTAGGTTAGGTAATGTTAGGTTAGCGTTACGTTAGTTTAGATTAGGTTAGGTTATGTTAGCATTATATTAGTTTAAATTGTTAGGTTAGGTTAGTTTATGCTAGGTTAAGTTTAATTTGATTAGCGTTAGGTTACGTTAGCATTAGGTTAGTTTAGATTGTTAGGTAGATTTAGTTAGCGTTAATTTGATTGGCGTTAGGTTAGTGTTCGGTTGGTTAATCTTCAGATATAATAAACTAAGATATCTAATGTTCACGTGATCCAGCTTATGTTGCTGTTTGTTCGTAATCACTATTAATATTATATACTTACTGTAAATATTTATTGTGAGCGGTGGCTGATTGTATAAATCATTCACCTGTCCTCAGGGTCACCGATTCGTGTCCAGAGCCCCGCTGAAGGTATAAACAGGACTCACACAGAGGGAAATACCGTCATTCTTCTTTACCAACATTTTAAGTTCTCCGTAAACGATTGTGATGACGAACTGTGTTGAGTGAAACGTTAATAAAGATGATTTAACAGTAGCGGTTGGTGCCATCTTGTCCTGTTACCGTTAATTTGCTATAAATAGGTAGATACCAACGAGTACTTGGTTGATAATCAATTATCACACATTCCTTTCCTTTCCAGGTAACAATGTGAAAATATCGAGAAGAAATCACCAATTATATATCAGATAAATACTTGTTGATAAATGATGTGGCGTGTGTGTGGTGCCATCTGGTGACAGCTGTCTGTGGTGACAAACGGTGATTATGGTGAAGTATTGGTGATAAAGTGCGTCTTACCTGGTCATAAGGTTGAGATTATTATGCAAGAGATCTTCGAGATGCCTTGGAATGATAATGAAATTTAAGGATCCCAATATTTGTGCCTTTATAAAGTGGTGTGGGAATGAAAAGATTTAAGAACACTGATAGGCTCGTGAGGAGCTTTAGTACGGCATTAAACTGCTTCTTATGAAAGTTCTAAGGAAACTCACTTTTAACTCAAGCTGAAATAATAGTGTCAAAGCAGAAAAAATATATCATATAAATATAGTCATACAAATTAAGACACATGCAGTATATGTTACACGTACAGAAGATTAAGGTTGTGTTAATGAGTGTGGAGGCAAGGAAGAGTAAAAGTGTTGACCTTCTTGACAACTTGAGACGAACAGTGATTCATGACCAACAGCTCTTGAGTTGATAGACAGATAACGAGATAAGGATGCCCACTGTCAGATGTTGCACTTAAAGTTGAATATACTGTACTGTAGGTGCGTAGAAACAAGGCACCAGTAGAACTAACATTGACTGTGTCGGTGTGAAACTACATATAAATAAAAGTGGTTATTAGTTAGGGTGTCAGGGACTGGTATGCTAAGTGGGTGTTTGTTTTTTGTAAGTTAGATGATTTAAGTGAGGCTAGTGGAGGAAGGGAACACTTATACGAGTAAAGAGAGCGTTGACGATGGACATCGTGAGGTGGTGGCTGAAGAAACAAGCGTGGATAATAATAGTGTGTGTCGTGACATGGAGGGAGAGGTGAGGGTGACATTAAACACACTCCTACGCCTACAGTGAGGGTGGCACGCTCGCCCACCATGCCGCCCATTACGCCGCCCTTTCCCCCATGGTCACGGACGTGGGTGTGGGTGGTGCTAGTGTGTGGGTGTCTACTCCACGTGACAGCTGTTGCTGTTAACCCACCCGTGGCTGGTGTTTCTACAGCTGTGCCGTCGTCTGCGGAAGAACACAACAGGTCACTCCCTGACACCACCCACGGTGACAACATTGACCACAGTAACAGTACCGTCACCACCAAAACGCCCGAGGCTGCAGTGAACCCCACCACCATCCCGGTGTTGACGACGAGTACAGAGCCGCCGCGGGTGACGGTGACCCGCGAGAACAACGTGACGGAGGTGACTGTCATCTGCTCCTCCACCCCGAGGTTGTTCCCTGGTCTGCCCACACCCCCTGGGCGTCGCACTACTGAAGCTGCTGACGACACTGCTTATACCACTTCCACTCTCGTCACCCTCGCGGCCTCTGGCAGGGGGGTGGAGGTAGACCTGAGCCAGCTGGTGGATGATGGAGGTAACCAGCTGGTGGTGGACGTGGGAGGTTGTGGGCGTGTGGATGTGGGCGGGGGCGTACCTGGGTGGGCGGAGGGGGTGGTACTAGCCATTAAGGGATCACTGGTGCTCAGGTCAGGGTGGTGGGCGGGGTCTAACACCCTTAAGATGATGTGGATTCGAGTGGACGGGGGCGTGAACGGGGAGGTGGGCGGGCTGTGCGAGTCCCTGCCGCCCACACTAGAGAGTCTGGACGTGTCACAGACCCGTATGGGGACGCTGCTGCTAGACAAGTCCTGCGTCCCGCCCACTCTACAGCGCCTGGAGGCCGTCCGCACCGACCTCACCAGGCTGTCCCTCTGCACGCCAACCTTGGTCTCCCTCCACGTCTCCTTGAACGAGGTGGTGGGCGGGCTACAGTGGGCGGGGTGTGAGGGCGGAGTGGCAGCCGTGGAGTACCTCCAGGCCAACAGCAACAACCTGACAGCGGCCTCCACGTGCGGCTGGCCTGGCCTCCGCACCCTCGACCTCCGCCATAACCACCTGGCCGGCCTCGATCTGTCCTCCTGCCCGCCCACCAACCTCTCCCGTGTCACGGCCTCCCGTAACTACCTAGTCACGCCGCCCACACTGCCACCCACCCTCCTCTACCTAGATCTGAGTCATAACTATCTGACCACGCTGCCTGTACTGACTCACATCCTCATGGTAAGTTTGTGAGTTACTGTATGTTTACAACCTCAACACATACACAAACAAACAAACAGACAGACAGGGATAGAGACTGACGTGTGTCAACCTTACAAGTAAAACACAGTTAGTTTGTTGTTATAAATAATAATTAAGATATTTAGTTAAGTTTTCGATAATATAATATTTAAATTATCTTTCTTTTGTTATGCTGTACCCGCCGTGTCCTTGCCATACCTGCTGCTGTGACACGGTTGTGATCACAGGAGGCTGACCTCTCTCACAACAAGGTGATGGAGGTGGGCAAGTCGAGGTTCAAGCATGCCCGTAAACTGCTGCTGCTGAACCTGGCATACAACCACCTTACCCAGCTGAACGGTGAGTACTGTACACTGTACCCAGCTGAACGGTGAGTACTGTACACCTTACCCAGCTGAACGGGGAGTAGGGAGGGCGTAACAGTTATAGTGGAGGTAACATGTTTAGAATTACACGTGTGTGACAGTGTGTGTCACAAATATTGGCCATGAGAACTTGTGGGATAACTTTCACTACAGTTACCATCAAGATTTATACACACATACTGTACAATATGTACAGTACAGTGTGTTGTATAGTACAGTACATGTACTTTGTTATACAGTATGTGCAGTATTCTCCAGCAAGTGTCTCACACGTTGTACATTTGTCAGTTGTATAGTACAGAACTGTATAGTACACTACTTTACAGTGCAGTATAATATATTACAATAAAGTACTTTACATTATATTGTAGTACTTTACGGTGCAGTACAGTACTGTACACTATTTTATAGTAGTACAGTACAGTTTATTACTCTACAATACAGTACGCTGTGGTATAGGTATAGTACATTACTCTATAGTACAGTGCAGTACACTACAGTATAGTACAGTACAGTAGTGCAATTAAAAATACAAGAGGCTAGAATCAGTAAGAAATGGACCAATATGCACAGCTCTACTGTACTGTACTGTACTGTACTAGGAATACATTGTAAATTTAAAATTTTAAAAAATACAGATATTTAGTGACGGTACAGTACAGAAACATATGTAGTGAGTTTCTTGTGAAATACCTGAAGATAATTAATAATATTTGCATGACATGAAATGAACTTACAGGGTATATAAGACTAGACAGAGAATTAGATTAACAATGAATATACAAAGTGTACTGTGAGTGATAACACTAAAATGTCCTTGTTGCCCTCAGAACGGGACCTGGCTGGCCTGCGGAGTCTGCGGAAACTAGATGCGAGTCATAACCGTCTGAGACACATCTCCCCTAACTCCTTCGTGCACCTGCACCACCTGCGACACCTACACCTGCAGAAGAACCACCTGACCACACTGTACGCCCGTGATTTGGCTGCTCTCAAGCCTCATGCTCACGCCACCCTCCAGCAGAACCCATGGAAGTGTTCCTGTTCCCTCCTGGCTGACCTCAACAGTCTACACTCCTGCCCAACCTGCCAGCACCAGGTACACACACACACACACACTGCCCAACCTGCCAGCACCAGGTACACACACACACACACTGCCCAACCTGCCAGCACCAGGTACACACACACACTGCCCAACCTGCCAGCACCCTACTACAGTATTACTACTTTGCGGTCACTAGAAATTGAGTATGACGATCATCCAGCTATGATACAGTACAATGGTATGAGTTATTAAGGGTGTCGCCTTCATTGGTGAGTTCTGGGGTAACTAAAGAGGCCGATACGGGACCGGCAGATTCGTCCACAGATGTTGCACATGAGGAGGCGTTGGCGCTTGCTCCGGTACTCAATGTCAACCCCGCTGGCTAAATTGGCACTGGCCCGGATAAGGAAGGCAGGCAAGAAAATGGAAAAAGAGAGTTGGTGCCAGTACACACCCTTGTTTTACCCCCATTTGGATGGGGAAGAATTCAGACTGGGTGCCGTTGTGCAGGACACTGCCGTTCATGCCGTCGTGGAGTTGCCTCACAATGGCAATGAATTTTGGTGAGCAGCCAAAACAGCTGAGGGTCCGCCAGAAGGGTTCCCTGTTGACCGAGTCGAAGGCCTTGGTTAGGTTGATGAAGGCCATGTACAGGTCACAATGCTGTTCTCCGCACTTTTCCTGTAACTGGTGGGCAGCAAAGACCATGTCAGTAGTGCCACATGATGGTCTAAAGCTACATTGAGATTCTGGGAGGAAGTTTTCCACCTCAGGAAGAAGTCTGTTTAGAAGGACTTGGAAGATAATCTTGCCAGCTACGGGCAGCAGCAAGATCCGGCGGTAGTTGCCACAGACTGGCCAGTCTCCCTTGTTCTTATAAATATTGACAATGGAGGCATCTTTATGAGCTTGGGGGATTTCCTCCTTTTCCCATATATTCTCCAGGAGAGAGTGGAGACGGCTGGTAAGCAGAGGTCCTCCTGCTTTTTATACCTCGGCTGGGATTCCATCAGGCCCTGAGGCTTTATTTTTCATCTATTTGATGGCAGTAGCTACTTCATCCAGGGATGGAGGCTAGCTGAGGTTGGTCAGCTCTGGATGCTGAGGGACTTGCTGGGTAGTCAGGACATCCACATCAGTGTTTCGGTTGTTCAGCAAATGGTAGTGCTATTTCCAGCGCTGAAGGATGCCTTCATCGTCTTTAATTGGGGAGTTACCGTTGGATGAACCAGTGATTGGCCCATAAAATGGTTTAGTGGAATTGAAAACTTCGTGCATCTTGTGTTGATCTGCAAGTGTTTGTTTCACATGCTTTATTTTTAAGCCAATCATTCTTTAGATTGCGAAGTTTGCGCTGGGCCGCTGCTTTCTTCTTGCATTAGATATCAGCTTTGGTCCAAGATTGAGGGTTGTACTGCAAGTCAGTTACAGCAGCACGTTTATCATTGACGAGTACATTTATTGCCGGGTCATTTTCATGAAACCAGACCTGGTGTATTCTTTCGATCTGACCGAGGGGGTCTCTGCAGGTTTTTGTCCTGACAGTGTCGAGAATATCCCATTCGGCACTGGGATTTGGGTTGTTTAGTAGCCCATGTTCGAGCTGATCTCTGAAAGCATGTGCTACCGCTGGAGCCTCCAGATGCTACGTGTTAAAACCTCTTCTGGAGGCTTGTTACCTTTGCCGTTTTGGGGCGACATGAAGTGAGAGCTTGATTCTGATGAACCGATGATCATTGTTGCAGTGGCCTGAGCCACACATAGCACGGGTGATGAGGACATCTCGGTGCTCTCTTCCTCTGACAATGAGGTAGTCAATGAGATGCCAGTGTTTGGATCCTGGGTATTGCCATGAACCCTTGAACTTGTCGGCCTGCCTAAACAAGGTATTGGTGATAGTGAGGTTGTGTGCAGCACACCCACTGTTGGGATTACACTTGCCTAGTCCTTTTCTCCCTGTGGTTCCCTGCCAAATGTCAGCATCTCTGCCAACTCTGACATTGAAGTCACAAAGGAGCACAACCTTATCTTCTCTAAGGATAGAGGTTAGAACTCTGTCGAGGTCGGCATAATAGGCCTCCTTGATGTCATTCTCTGCATCCAGTGTTGGGGCGTATGCACTGATGAAAAAGGCATGACGTGAGTAATTCAGTGGGACTCCTAGCACCATGAGGCGCTCATTGATCCCAATAGGCATTTCAGTTACCCTGTGTAGAATGCATTGGCGGATGGCAAAGCCAAATCCATAAATGCGGTTTCTTTCCACAGCAGGCTTACCCTTCCAGAAGAAGGTATAGCCAGACCCCCGTTCTGTGAGTTGACCCTTGTCTGGGAGCTGGGACTCACTAATGGCTGCTATGTCGATGTTATACCTAGCCAGCTCTTTTGCGACAAGGGCAGCTCTTTCAGGACGTTCGTTTGTGCCAGTATACAGAAGGGTCCTGGCATTCCATGCAGCGACCATAAGAGGTTGTATAGTTTGTTTTTGTTTGGATCTGTGACTTTGATTGTGTTTTTGACCGCATAAGGATGACCTTACTGGGTGCGGTTGCCCAGTCAGGTTATTTTTTTTTTTAGGCCTAACCTGCCAGCACCAGGCATACACACACACACACACACACACACTGCCCAACCTGCCAGCAACAGGTAAAATCAACACACAAGTTTACAATGGGCTCAGCATTTACTGTAGACAATGCAGATATATACATGGAGCAAACGTCACCCAAGACAATCATTTCTGTTAAAATATTTCAGACTGACGTATCACTGTCATATTTTACCCCTGGATGGAAAATTGTAAAGCTAATAATGTTTCATTCTTGTGTATTTGTTGTCAAGGTCAAAGTATGTACAATACAGTACTTGTAAAGTAAAGATCAGTAAAGCTGTGTAGAGAACAGTTAATTCTCAGCCTTTCATTTTATTCTTCCATATTACACTATTGTTCAATACAGTATCCCAGTGAGAATTTATTCAATATTTTTTATCCTTGAAATAACTTGTGTTTTTCTTCACATTAAATGATACAGTACTTGTGTGTTGTCCTCTAAACTAATATATATGTTATATCATAGGCGGAGGAACTCAAGTGTCGGGAGCGAGGATCATGGGTGCCAGCAACGACTGTCCTACACTCGTGCCTGCAGGCGGTGCAGGACATGATGGACGTGACAGACGGCCAATACCTGGATGAGTCCGACGAGGACATATCAGAGGAGGAGCCCGAGACACTTGCTGGGGGTGGCAGCGGGTCCCCCAAGGCAGTGCTGGTGGTGCCAGGGGTGGTAATACTCCTGCTGATAGCCATCACAACAGCGATGGGCTACAGGATGTATCACCGTCACCGCCGTGCCATCACCACCAGGCTGGCCCCCTTCTGTGGATTCTGCGGCTACTGTGCTCCCACCACCGTCAACAACAACCATCACAACCACCAGCAAGATCAACTCTCACAAATGGCCAATGATTCAGACACAGAGACAGAGTTGTGATAGGAATACAGAGAATGAATTATGAACATTATGAAGATAATTATGGTTTGGATACAGAAAATGAACACTACTGTAGTGACCTGGGTTGTGATCTGGTCCTGTACTGTACTGTATCTGGCTACAGGCTGTTAGGGTTCTCACAGAGTGACTGGTGATCTGCAGTTGTAAGTAATTCAACCAAAAAAATGTAAATGGATGTTACAGTGGTCACAAAATTTCAGTCAAGTGTACAGTTCATTGTGTAAGTAGCAGTAGTGTACAGAACAGGAGTAAGTAACTATTGTACAGCACAGGTGTAAGTAACAGTAGTGTACAGAACAGGTGTAAGTAACAGTAGTGTACAGCACAGGTGTAAGTAACAGTAGTGTACAGAACAGGTGTAAGTAAGTAGTGTACAGAACAGGTGTAAGTAACAGTAGTGTACAGAACAGGTGTAAGTAACAGTAGTGTACAGAACAGGTGTAAGTAACAGTAGTGTAAAGTGTAGGTACAGGTGTACAGTGAACCCTCACTTTATGCGGTCAACTGAACCGCGTAAAGTGAGAAACGCGTAAAATGAACAACATAACATATGGGATTAATTGAAATAGAGACCGGGCCGACCCCCAAACTCCACTTTTTCAGACACAATACCTACGTTGTAGTAAAAATAACTTCTTAATTTTATGATGGTATGCACACAATTAATAATTAAGAGAAATATCAATAATATTAGGTTTTTTAACACTAACATTAGTAGAAAAGATGGCTGGGCACACGGGGATGGGGGGTTGGTTCCGAGGCAGAGGGTAGATTATTGGCCCTCACCTGTATCACTTGTATCAATTGTATCACTATCCACCACAGAGGCTTGCAGGGCCTCTTTGTCAAACCCCTCAAAGTCCATTTAAGTCCATATCCTCACTATCATTATCACTGACTTGGGCCAGCTGTGGCGGGTGAAGAACTCGGTAATGTTTTGATGACTGGGCGACCTTGTGCGCACCCTGCTCGCGCCGCTCTACGCGTAAAAGGGTACACACACCGCGGAAAGTGAGCATTCCGTGTTCGGCAGGGTACCGCGTAAACGTGGAAACGCATAAAGCGAGGATTGACTGTATAAGTAAGAGTACAGTGGTCCCTCGGTTAACGAGATTTCGGTTAACGAGTTACCTTCCATAAGATTCTTAACTTCGGTTAACGAGCAATCTCTCGATTAACGAGTTTCATACGAGCGGACCTCAACATGTTTTCGCGTGCATTTGGCGGTCCACCAGCTGTAGTATTAGTCCGCCAATACAGTAATCGGTTCTAGGGCTTAAATTCCTTACCATTTTAGCAAATATCAAGAAGTTTATACTATTCAATAATTTTAAAAGTTTAATATTAAATTTTGTAGTCATTTTAACAATTATTGAACATAATTGAAGGCAATGAAACTAGTTTTATGCGCGCCATCCAGCCTCTCAGCACACCATACAGGCGTCAGTCTTTGAGTCTTTTCAGTGGAGATAACATCTTGCTTGAGACTCTTCAATTAAACGCTTTTTTCTGTGTTTGCAAGCAAATTATTGGTCATTTTGAAATTTATTTTACATATTGACAATATATAATGCAGTGCAGTGTTGATTTAAAGAAAATAATCTTGAATTACACCAAGAGAACTAAAATTTTATGGGTGAAATGGCACCATGGGGTGACTTCTCTTCCACCCCAATGCCTTCTCTTCTTCCTTCTCCTCCACCCCCATTCTAATTCCCATCATCATCATCATCATCCAGGAGCCTTCTACATACACACCTCAAAGTAAGTGTACTTTTCTACATTTTTTGTTGAATTTAGACAATTTTTGGTGAGCTGGAACCAATTACCCAAAAACCCATTGAAACAATGGTTTCGGTTAACGAGCAACCTTCTAGAACGGATTGTGCTCGTTAACCGAGGGACCACTGTAGTGTTAAGTGTAGGTACAAGTGTATAAGTAACAGTAGTACACAACACAGGTTCAAGTAACAGTAGTTAAAGCTCACAACAAAACACACCAAATGTTAGAGAATAACATGTGACGCTCAGTACAGTACGGTATTGTACTGTAGAAATGATGACAATATATTTTGTAACCACTGCTTTTACCCAACCAGTCAGCTGGCCATGAATGACTGCTACTGCTGTAATAAGACACCTAACAGTCTACTAACTGTGAGTGACTCCTGCCTAACAGTCAACTGGCCACAAGTGACTTCTGCTAGTGTAACAGGATCGCTGAGCATGTAAAAGGTCTTGACTGTTGGGATAATATAGTAACCTGAATTAACATTTCATGAGGTAAAGCATCAGTACCAAAGTAAGACAAGTCCCGGCAGAGGAACATTAAAGGTTACTAAAATAAACTAATGGAAGAAATGTGATAATTATACTGTACATTGTTCTTAACTATGGTATACTGTACTGTTGTTATTGGTGTGGTATACTGTACTGTAGTTATTGGTGTGGTATACTGTACTGTCGTTATTGGTGTGGTATACTGTACTGTCGTTATTGGTGTGGTATACTGTACTGTCGTTATTGGTGTTTGTTCAAGTTTTTATTATTTGTTAACAAAGAGGTTGTTAGTCTGTTAGTCGACTCATTAAGATGATGTATTACCTGTACCTAGTAATCTGTTCTTCATAACTTACAACAACATTATTTAATATTTTACCAAAACTTAGATTAATGATGACATACTGCACAGATAATAATATCAAACTTGATTAGTAACAGTAATTGTACTGTACTGTTACAATATAGTGATCAAAGAAGATGTGAATTTATGAAAATCTATGGCTATTTTAGAGTTTTTAAGATACAGTACTGTAGTGTAGCTTGTAGTATGAATGTACTGTACAGCTTTAAATTTATTCTGTAACTGTGTTAAAGTTACAAAAGTTATTACAGGAAGTCTTCATTATGCCTGCCCCAAGTATTGCTTATTTCACTTTTTCTTCAAACAAAATAAATCAATAAAAATAAATTTTGTAGAGTATAATAAATAGAAAATATTTCACTTACCTACTGTATTCTAATTGAATTGGTACAAATACATTGCAAAATTGTTTTAAAAACAAATGCTGTAGATACTTAAAGAAATACTATACTGTAAAGTTGGAAATAACAAATTTTGGAGCAACTTTGGGGATACTGAAAAATGTCTATTGGGTGAGCCAAGGTTAATTTGTAAAATAATGTTGTATATTGATTACAACATGAGTAGTACAGTAAAGTGAGTGGTGGATGCTGATGTCCCAAGAAAAGACAAAGGTTAAGTGTTACATGTGAAAATGGTTGTGTTAGGAAAATACATTATTTAAATTATCAAATAAAATTTTGTGTGGGAAGTGCACCACCATTTATATGTACTGTACTGTGTATGAGAAAAAGTCATAACAATAATCCCTGGGAATGTAACAAAAACTTATTGTTAGTTTGGCTTCACTGCACTACAGTACAGTTACTAGTTATGATGTTCACCAACCTGGGACTGCCTGTGTTGCGTGTACTGCTCTGTATAATAGAACACCTTGTAAATATTGAAAGTTTATATACCTGTATTTCACTTTTTTACTGGAGATAAATACTGAAATTTTTTTACAGGAATAATGTATTACATATTTTAGTCTGCCTTAAGCACCAACAAGTATTTTTCTTGAACTACCACAGCATGTTAGTAGGTCTTGTTGTTCTCACAAAATATTTGAGCTGCAAGTTCAGGAAAAATGCATTTGGATCCTTTTATAAAAAAAATATATAACACTGTCCTTAATGGGAAGCAGAGTAATGTATGACACTGTGTCCTTAATGGGAAGCAGAGTAATGTATGACACTGTGTCCTTAATGGAGAGCAGAGTAATGTATGACACTGTGTCCTTAATGGAGAGCAGAGTAATGTATGACACTGTGTCCTTAATGGAGAGCAGAGTAATGTATGACACTGTGTCCTTAATGAAGCAGCATTTTATGACAAGTCCCAGGTACTGTACTATGATGTAACCACCAAATGTGATCTCATTTAAGACCAGTTGTTACCAACACTGGTACCTGTTCAGGGACATTCAGTGGTCCATACTGTACATGCCCCAGTACAGTACTTGCCAGAAGTGCATAACAGATTGACTGGATAGTACGCTGAAAAGTGGTGAAGAGGAAGAGTCATTTAAGTCAAAGGTCAAGACACCTTAAGAAATTAATTATAATTGATAAGTCACCAGGTTAGAGGTCGTAAAAACAGCCTCACTGTTGAGGCAAATTAGATGTTCATATATCTGGTGTTTGTGTACTGTACTGTACAGTATTAGTCCAGCTGGAGGAATACATTGCTAAGTCTTGTAAATGTGTGGTGGACTTGGGGTGAAGCCTCAGTCATTATTGTATCAGACAAATACATTATGATGCATTGCCTTTTATCAAATTTGGATGAGTGATGTGGCAAAAAATAAAACTTACACTGATTATTTTGCCTTTTACTTTATTTAAACCTCAGCATTCAACAGTCAGGTGTATTGTGATGGCACCGAGTGTGAACTAAGACCAGACTTGACCAAAGGTATACAGTATATAGATCCTGGAGGATGGGCAGGATGCTCTACCTACATTAGAGTTGGGGGATTTCCTGTGTAATTATCTTCCCCTACAATTAATGAAATTCTTAAGACAATTTAAAACCTCCTAAATTTTGTAGAAAAAAATAAAAATTTTCATAATTTTGTTTTATATGTATTCTGGGAGAAGGTAGTCTGAGGTCGACGTTCAGTGAGGTCAGCTAGTCAACCTTCTTGTCAACTCTGGCCATCATCAAATAGCCTGACAAGGTCTCGCCAGGCTCAACATCCCCTCCCCTTACAGTGAGGTCAGAGTCACATGTGTCACATGTGTCTGGGCCGAGGCTTGAACCCCTGACACATTAGTGAGAGATACGCTGTACCACCAACATAAGGTAAGAAATATTATATCAAACTAATCTGTAAACAGCCTTACGCTTTCTAAAACAATGTATAAGATGTAGGTAATTTGTTCAGACACATTCTCCTGTATAAGCCTCTATGTCGTTCACAACAAATGTACACCAATGGACTTACCAACATTGTTGCAGGCACAGATATATTCTGGAACCAGTACGTACATGACCAGTACTGGCCAACAGTGTGCAACAAAGATCAAGTACAGAGGATGGATAGTGAGGCATAATGTAAGCTGTGTCTCGTTTATTTATGTGTTAATAAAATTTACAAATTGAAGAAAAAGTCTGTATTACAGTGTATATATATATATATATATATATATATATATATATATATATATATATATATATATATATATATATATATATATATATATATATATATATATATATATATATATATATATATATATATATATATATATACACACACACAGGGTGGGCATAAAGTCTTTCCCTGATTATGAAAAATCATATCTCGAAGACCATTCTAGATAGAAACATGAATGTTGTAGCATTGTGTACCGGGTAGACGAATTCATAGATTTTTTCATGCATATTTTAAGCTGCAAAAAACTGTATGTTTGTACCTAGCATATGTTTTGTGTAATAAATGTTTGCAATCAGGGAAAGATTTTATGCTCACCCTATATATTCAGATAAAAAACAAAACAATTCTCTCTATAAGTACCACCCATTAAATAAAAACATGAAGAAAATGGATTTTCCCCATCTTCACTAATGATCAATTTTGCAGGTTTCTATTACTTCAAGATATAAAAGTGGACGACATTTAATATGTTGCATCTATGAAACATCCCCAATAACTCAACAACCACAGGGTGTTTCATGTTACAACTATTCATGAGTGTGAGGATGGATCTCCCAAGAGAGAGTCCACACACCGAGACACTTGGTTGGTAATGTTTCTGGACACAGCCTTGTTCTGATATGTCTTCCCCAGCCGAATTCCAACTTTGTTTTCAAATACACCACTAATAACAGGACCCCATGCCATGTCATCACTAATATATTTAGACAAGAGACATCCTTCACTCTTACTACTGGGTATATGACCGTCAAGGTTGTCTCTGCTGGTGCCTGCAGTTATTACAGAGTAACTGGTTGTCATCAAGTTATTGTGTGGTTCACAAACACGACTGGAAACAGTAGACAAAACTGGAACATGTGCTTGTATTACTGGTACCAAGTTGCTGTCTTCTTGATGAAGGTTTAGTGCACCGTGAGTTTCAAGGTTTTCTGTTACCTTAATATCATGATCAAAGAAATTATGTCTACTTACACCCTGTTGTGAGTCACCTGAACTGAGGTGTTTATGAGGGACATCACAGTGGGAGAGAACCTCCTGGAGAACCTGTGATTTAATATTATACACAGGGTCATGTGCTTTTGTACCCTTTACTGTATTATCTGAATCAAACAAACTTTGTACTAATGCATTAGTTGGTGGTGTGCGTGCAGCACATGTACTGAGGGTAGGTACACTGGTTATTATGGAATTTTTTGTTGGCATAAGCAAAGCCTGATTATCAAGTTCTGTCACACCAGGAATCATTGGTTCCTGCTCTGCAATGTGTGGATGACGTTCATTAACAACAACAGTACAGTTAAGTGTATTACCTGATATGTTCATCACATCATTACCTTTAAGTTTTTGCTCAGCCACTACAGACTTCTGATTACATGACATTCCTGAGTTGCATCTAGTCTTGTTACCTCTTTTACTAATTCCTCTTCTGCCTGTAGCAGCCTTAGCATTACATCTCTCCTCAAACTGCGATTCAAATACAGTCAAATCTAAAGGATAAGAATTGGTGTTCTCTCTAACAGGAGCTGCACCTGAAGTATTTATGTCAACATTGACAACCTTCTTGGTGCAACACGGTGGTGAAGCAGCTGACCAATATGAACCAAAACTTGATACAAAATTTTTCCGTAACTTTACGTCGTTTACAGTCTCTATGACCAACCTTGCCGAACGTCTACGAAGCTTTCTGTTAATGTTCTTGTTAATTTGAGTACTGGCAGGAGACTGATGAAGACTCAGGGAGGAGGGTGAGGAAGACTTATCAGTGTGAAGGGTAAGAGCAGCCAGTCTGGTTGAAGGTGAAGTGGGAGAACGACAACAGACAACACCATCTGAAGGAGCCCCAGTGGGAGAAGTGCAGACCATAACAGCTTCTTGAGCTGTGTTTACCAATGATGGTGGTGGCATACTTGACTCCACACTGTTTGAAGGATTTAACTCAGCTGCCTCAATAAGATCCAAGGATTTATCTAAGGAATTATTTACATCTAGATTTAAGCTTGTTGGCTTGGTGAAGGTGTGGTACAATGGCTGCTGTTTCCCAGACAGTCTCCGTGTCCCTCTCCTGTTACTGCCTCTATTAGGCTTAACAGCTCCCTCATCATGACGATTTACCCGAGCTTTATCACAAGGAAGTGTCACTACTTCTGAGGTGACCTGAGACACAAGAGGGTAATTCATGGACAAAGTTTTTTCTCCTATTGAGTTAACACCATCAACCTCATAATCTCTCCTTTTCTTAATTCTTTTGTCTACTTCTGATTTATTTTGTCTTTTTGTGCCCATTTCAAGTTTCTTTACTTTCTTTCCTTCTTCATGTTGAGGTTTTCTTTGTTTTGCTCTTTTCTTAGCAACAATTCTTTGTTCATTTGTATGTTCACTACCTTTATCATCATCACAGTTTATGACATTCTTTTTTCTTTGCCTGGGCTTCAATGGCTTCTTTCCTGCAGACTCTTTAGGCTCAGCAACAACTGAATCTATTTCTACGGTAGTGGATGATTCGTGCAAGATTTCAGGTGTGGATGAATTATTTACAGGAGATAATATGGTTAAGGTGGAAGGGTGACAACACTGTACATCAGCCACACACTGCTCCTCATCAAGAATGGCTTCTAAGGTCCTTTCTACGGGTGGCAACACACATCCCAACAATCTTCCGGATCGTCTCCGTAACTTCTTTTCACGCGAGCTGAAGGAATGAGACAGTGGAGGTTCATCAAAAATTGGCAATGGGAGAAATTGCTCAAGCATTTGCGCTTTTACAGTATGATCTGCCCTCGACTGTAAATCTGCGTGTACTTGAGACTTATTCACTGTAAGAGCGTCCATGTCCTGAGTGATGTCCTCCATGACTGCATCACTAGTGTCTGCTCTTGTAATATTACCAACATAAAACCCAGAGTCGCTGACCACACCTGGAAACTTACTGTTGGTAACATTTTGGTTGTTTTCTATCTGATCATCTTCATCATCTGATAAACAAGCCAGGACTGCCTCAAGGTCCTCAACAGATATAGTCGTTCCCTTTGGAATTTTCACGCCCTTTGTCTGCTTCATCTTACGGGCGCGTTCTTTACGATGGCGAATTTTTTGTTTAGAAGGATTGTAGTGACTGGCAAAGAGACAAATCCTCTTCAACTTCTTTGCAGCCATCAGTGATAAGTCTGTATCAGTCTCAACATATGTTAACTTGTCATTGTTACTCCCTCTCCCTCTGTTGGTTCTCTTCCCGCCTCTGCTGCAGTGAGGTGACTCGTAGATAGTCTCCAGCGGGGTCGAGGAAATTTCCTGATAGTTTTCTTGACGATACAGACTCTCTATGTTAACCTCCGCCTTCCTCTTACATCCTCGGTTCTTTGTATGACTAACTCTCGAGTCCCTTTCGTCATCCTCGACGATGTCCTCCGCACAATAGTAATTGATCTGGCTGAGTCGTGTCCGCAGCCTGTAATGTTTAAGTGTGCACTTAAGGTGGTAATCAATAACTTTAAAACCTAAAAGTAAAAACACTAAATTTTAACAAGCCAAGAATAATGAAACAAGGGTGTATATGTACAGTAGTACAGTATAATGTATTTACAATCAACAATTCCAAAGGCAAAGTGTTATAGAGTAAGTACAGTAGAACCCAAATTACAACTGCCCAATTTACAGATTTTTATATACGTACTCGTATATATTGTATATATATTCTTTTAATCAATAAATTTAATCAATAGCATCAATTTATGGAAAAAACCTCTGAAGTTATATTGCAATTTGGCTGCTGGGCAACAAAAATTGTCAATTGCTTCACTACACACAGGAGACAGCTCAGAACAGCTGAGATCCCTCACTCCCCCACTCAGTGTGAACTCTTAACACAAGAAGAAAGTTTATTCCATTTTATGTTTTTAACTTCATGATAATTTTTTTTAACATATTCTGTATGTAATATTGTGTGTGCATGTACCATAGAAAACAAAAAGAAGAAAATTACATATATCTCCCCTAAATTATAAGTACTATAAAAATAACCATTACATATCTGACAGCTTGGCCTGGAGTGGTAGGGAGAGGGCTATGGGGATGTGATAAGTCTTGTTACTAAACTAATATAAAATACTGAAAAACAAGCAAAAAATATAAACAAATGAAAGGAATATTATAACAAATGTAAAGTAACGACCTACATGGTAAGTCAAAAGGCTGAAACAAACTCACAACTTCTGTACTGTACATATTTCCCAGCATTCATAAACCTACATTTCTTATGTTAATAATAAGTGTGGTATATCAAACAACATTTGTATACAATCTAGATAAAAAAAGACTGCTAAAACCATTAAGGAAAAGCTAAATGACAATTTAACACCACTGCCTGTGCCTACCCCCTAACAATGGAGCCCCCCATACTAAGCTCCTCCCCTCCTCTGCTCACGTGCAAAAAGAAATGTTTCCTCCCTTTGTGTTTGACATTATGATAATTATTGATTTTATTTTTTTTTTGGGGGACACAACATGTATGTAGGATTGAGTGTGCATGTAACTGGGTAAAAAATATTAAGAAAGTTATACACTACACATCTACCCAAAATTATGAGCTGAATAATAACATTAACACCTCACAGCTCCACCTGGTAGGGAGATGTGGCAACAGTGATGAGTCGGCAATAATGCCACAAATGAAGAAAATATCTGTAACTCTTCATTTGTACAGTATCAGGTACGGTATTTGTAGATTTAAGTGAATGAGGATCTGCTCTTCATATAAAACATAACGAAAGAATCTAGGAGTATGGTAAGCAAGCCCAAGACGAAGGAGCTTACCAAGTACAGTACAGCTATATCATTCACTGTTAATAATCCACGGATATTAATTAATTTTAACCCCTCAAAAATATTATGCATTTACAGTTCGACCCAACTTTGTGGATAAAATTTGATCATAAAAACTTGAACTTGTATATCTCCACATCATTCACTTTATCTCACACTGCACAAGGCCATCCATGCCACACACTCAGTCTAGACTCTTACAACCTTACCTAGATCTATTAACATTTTAAATAAAAAACGACTGAATTTCCTGAAAGTATGTCATACGTATGATTATTTAAATTTAACTAATTTAATATGAAATTCAATAAGCCAATGCGTGTTAGTGTAATATTCTGGGTGTTGTTTTGAACGTTTGTGCCTCCCTGAGGTCCAAATAACGTACTGTCTGAGTGACAACATCGCCGTGGCTTAATTAGTCCAGTAATCGGGGTCTCTATTGTTCTATTCGCCAAGGCTTCACTTTTTAACATACAGTACTGAACGTATATCAATCATAAAACAACAATTACCTGTAATAGTAAAATAAAGGCAGTGAAGGATACAGACCTGCGACCTGTGGCTGCTGGCACCATCTGCTCCTCACCACAACTAGTCTCCATCATCACCACACACACACACACATTCTCTGCAGCAACAACTGAAAGATAAAAATAATATAACACAATTCAGAATAAATGTTATAAGTAAGAAACTTGACTTAATAAAACATGTATGATCTTACCTACGCACACAATATGCTGAGGCATTCTATACAGTAGTCAAGTTTAATGGCTGACAATACAACAGTGCAGTATGGTATATATGTAGCTCTTAAGTACAGTATTGTACTGTACAATATTGTGAAGTACAACACAGTATATTACTGTACAGAATATAGTCATAAATGATCTCCCATAATAAACAAACATTTACCTATTTGTGGATGATATAATAATATTAAATGTAATCAGCAACAAAGAAAACCAGGATAGAGTGCAGGAGAACCTTAACAGGATGGAAGAATAGAGTGAGAAGTGGCTTCTTAAATTCCACCCTGAGAAATGTAAATACAGTACACAGTATGCAGAGGAACAGAGGATATGAGAAACAGCTGCAACAAGTATCATCAGAGAAAGATATTGCAGTAACAATCAACAACAAAATTAAATTTGAAGAACATATATTAGAGCTAAGAAAGCAAATTTAATGATTGGAACATAAGAACATTCAATTTCTTGACCTTCAAACATTCATACAGTACCAGGTACAAATCAATGGTAAGGTCAGCTCAGTGTGGAGTCCCTACACAAAACTAATTGAAATGATGCATCAGTCCAATGGAGAACAATTACTGTACAGGGGATGCAAAACCTGTCATACCCAGAGGAGAGATTAAGGAAATTGAAGCTGCCTAGTATTAGATACAGACAAAAAAAGGGGGATAAGATAAAAAAAAATACATATTAAATAGTTATTATGGTTACAGCAACTGTGGAGGGACATACAGTAGTCAGGACCACAAGGACACAGTCAGATATTACAGTATACCCAAAGTTGACCAACACTACAAAAAGGAAGGAATCATTCTCACTGAGAACAGTTAAAGTGTGGAACAGTCTGACTGAGGAAGTCATCTCATCAGAGACTATAAACGAAGATACTGAGCTACAGTTGGTCTACCGGGATATTTACACTGTAGCGTCTATAAACCCAATCTAACCTAGCCTAACTTAAGCTAATATACCTTAACCTAGCCTAACTTAATCTAATATACCTTAACCTAACTTAACTAGGTTAAGTTGGGTTAAGTTAGGTTAAGTTAAAGGATGCTACAGTGTAAATATCCCGGTAGACACAACTCCAGCTCAGTAGACCGCATACTATAGTAGCAACCTATAAACACCTTGAAAAAAAAATAGATAAGATAAATTGTGGAAAAGGAAGGAAGTGTTGTACGATAACTTCACAGCGAATATTTTCTGTGGCACAACACGGAGTGAAGAGTCCTGTATAGAGGAACAGTAGGATCCTACACTGGCAAACAACTACAAGTAACTACAGTATTAGGGTAGAGGTGGAGGAGACAGTTAGCACCAAAAGCACTTTATGGAATTGTACCAAATTTTCAGATGTTGTTTGGATGATACCGAGTAAGACAATGCACAGGTTAGGTGATGTTAGGTCAGGTTCTACTAGTTTCTGTGCATTCTTGCTTCCATTTCTGTGCTCAGTATCATACAAATAGTATCTCCAGAAATTTTGGTTCAATTCCATAAGTTATTTCTGGTGCTAATGGTCTCCTTCACCTTTACCAGTATAAGTAAAGAAAGGAGGGCCACCAGACTGGTGCCTGCACTACAGCACCTCAGTCACCTAGAGATTAGAACACCTGCAGCTGCCTAGCTTATACTATAGCCAGACAAGGGCTAACTTAAAGTCTATGAACACCTCAGAGCTGATGGACGTCCGCCCCACTAGAGGTCACAGCTTAAGGTTGAAGAAGCCATGAGTTCAGAAAATTGTGAGGGCAAACGTTTTCAGAGTGAGAGTTGTGAACTGTTGGAACAATCTACCAGTGTTGTGACAGCACTGAATGAGCTTATTCAAGACCAGACTTGACCAACATACTGTAGATACATTCTGGAGCCGGGTCCGACTAAATACCCAAATGTAGCCGCAATGAAGTCAAATAATGGTCCTACATGAATAAATCGGACTGCCAATCACTTCTCGACTAGTATTTGGTGTCACAAAATAATAAAAAAAATTGGAAAACTTAATTTAATCTGAGTTAATAGATCGAGTGCATGTACCTAACCTAACCTAACACAACACAACTCAGATTAAAGTAAGTTTACCAATTTGTTGTGACTTTGTGACACCAAATACTAGTCGAGAAGTGATTAGCAGTCCGATTTATTCATGTAGGACCATTATTTGACTTCATTGCGGCTACATTTGGGTAATTAGTGGGACCGCTGGAGCCAGTACATGCCTAGTATTTGCTTAAAGTGTGTAACAGAGAGCCAGTACCTGCCAACAGTGTTCAACAGACTGCCCAAGCAGCTATCACTGACCAGATGTACAGTAAGGCTGGCTGGTGTAAAGTAATTGACTACACCACTTTCTCTTCTTCTCAAAACTACGTTACAATTCCCCAAGTTAAAAACACCTACACATAATGATACCAAGACAAGATAAAAGACGCCATAAATCCTTTAAACTCACCCAGAGATAAATGTTTTGGTGGACGTTGAGGTGAGGGTGGTGGAGCCGCCTGGTGGCCGGCCAAGGCGCCACCCTCAAGTCTTTTATTCTTCAATACTTCCTAAAGACTAAACCCTGCGATCAAACCATAATATAACTACATCAATGTGTTCTTGTTTCTTACAGGTATAGTTAATTCATAATGAAATACATCAATATTTTACTATACAGAAGTGGTCAGTATAAACAGCGGACACTATACAGTTGTAATTACTTTTAGTTTTATCCTGTGGCCAATGGTCGGCTCATAGTGTTAAGAGTGGCCTTTACACAGGTGATCCTCGCTGCCGCCACAACACTGGCAGCTGTTCACCACTCATAGTGTTTACTGATTATCTCGACCTCTTCTATATAGTGTTCGCTATATATATTGACCACCTCAGTACAGTATTTGCTGCTTATACCGACCACCTCAGTACAGTATTTGCTGCTTATACCGACCACCTCAGTACAGTATTTGCTGCTTATACCGACCACCTCAGTACAGTATTTGCTGCTTATACCGACCACTTTTGTAGTATTACTGCTCATGTCAAAATTTTTTTATAACGAATATCTAAATCTGCAAATAACAATATCTACAAATGATACAAGGTTAGGTTTCTATTTAAAGGATAAACGCAGAAATATACAGATGTTACCGGCCATGCAAAAGAAATATGGTGTCGGTAAAAATCCTAACATACAAGCTTATAATTACGGAGAACTTTTATCCTCTTCACCACTGATCGGCTCGCTAGCCGCCCGGGCGATCGGTCACGTCTCTGTCACGCACTCGGTGCCGTCACAACACTCTCTGGCAGATTGTTCCAAGAGTTTACAACCCTCACTCCGAAAAAGTTTGCCCTCACAGTTTTCTGGACTTGTGGCTTCTTCAATCTTGAGCTGTGACCCCTTGTGGGGCGAGCGTCCGCCAGCTCCAAGTAAGGACACTCAACTGAGTAGTGCCCCCTGAGATGCTTATACACCTCAACTAGGTCCCCCCTTGCCTGTCTGTAGTATAAGCTAGGCAAGTTCAGGCGCTCCAATCTCTCAGGGTAGCTGAGGAGCCGAAGTGCAGGCATCAGTCTGGTGGCCCTCCTTTGAACATTTTCAACCAAGTGACAGTTCCTAGCATATCTCGGGGACCAGATGGGGAAGCACTTCACTCCTGAAGATCGTCACGAGGGACGGACCGTCTAGATATCTGAACGACCTTCTTATAAAACCCAATAATTTATTTGCCTGATTTACCTTCTTCTCGCAATGGCCCGAGAACTTTAGCTCATTGTCAACATACACACCTAGGTCCTTCTCACACACAGTCTCAACTAGTGCATTTTCTTCATCCCGTTGGGACATATGATACGCCTCCTTACCGTTGGTACGCCCCAGGTGCATCCTCTTACACTTCGTGACATTGAATCTCAGCAGCCATTTCTTGACCATTCCTGGAGCCCACAGAGGTCCTTCTGCAGCTCTTCACAGTCATTTAACAACATTGTTTGTCTACATGTGAGTGAGTTTTACTAAAAGAAATATGAAAAACTTTTATAGTAGAATTCTCATTTGATTTTAATAACTGGAAAAAAATCAGATTCATCTGTACTAAATCTTTAATACAGTAACTGAAATATATTTGGCCTTACAGTTTCACTTATAAAACTACAAAAAGGACATTCGACTATTTTTATCACATAAGACTAAACATCATTCCAACATGTCAGGTAGAGCGAAGATGTATCTATGATATACTGTATACCTGACTAGTAAGAAGACAGGTGTGACAACCTGAATTTTTAAGATGAAGTAAGTTATGAGCCTCACAAACCTAAGAAATATTAGCTTAGAAAACCTGAGAATAAGAGGAAGCTCATCACAAACCTCTGCTTAGGAGACTGAAGGTGAGCGACAATTAAAATACAAATACTGTACAGTAATGATGAACAATATAAGATTACACAAATTAAGAGTAAAACAAAAACCTTCTTGTATATAAAGTTTAGTAATAACTCAGACATTTGCAACAAAATAATAATAAAATAAACCATTGCATCCAAACTCAACTGGGCTGTGAAAAGGAAAGTGCGGCTGTAGTAAAATTGTTTGTTTTTAAATTACGTAAGTACAGTCTCACAAGTGACTACAGTACCTGCAGTCAGTCACATATATTACAGTACATCTGTGTGTGTACATACAGTTAAGCCCCACTTAATGGAGCTTTGCATTAACATAGATAAATTATTACCATTCTTTGCTCTAGACAGTACAGTACATTACCCCGCTATAATATACTTGGATAATATGTACCTGTAGTTCATTGCCATAAATTGATATAATGTAGCATAACCAAAGTTAGAGCCGTTCAGACTGGCTAGTATGGCACACCATCAGTGGTACTTATATTATACATACTGTAATTGTATACTTACCGTAGGTATTGTAATTTTTATTTTTATTTTTTCCACTGTACAGTGACCCCTCGGTTAACGAAATTTCGGTTAACGAACTGCCTTCCATAAGGATCTTCAATTCGGTTAACAAACAAAAATTCGGTTAACGAATTTCTTACGAACCGACCTCAACATGTTTTCGCTTGCACTGACCTGGCAACCAGCTTTAGTATCAGTCCGCCAATACATTAATCGGTTCTAGGGCTTAAATTCCTTACTATTTTAGTAAATATCAAGAAGTTTATACTATTCAATAATTTTAAAAGTTTAATATTCAATTTTTAATCTTTTTAACAATTATTGAACATAATTGAAGGTAAAGTGACTAGTTTAATGCGCGGCATCCAGCCTCTTAACACAGCAAACAGGCGTTAGTCTCTCTCTGTTTTCACTGGAGGTAACATCTTGCTTGAGACTCTCTTCAACTAAACGCTTTTTTTCTGTGTTTCCAAGCAAATTATTGGTCATTTTGAAATATATTTTACATATTGACAATATATAATGCAGTGCAGTGTTGATTTAAAAAAATAATCTTGAATTACACCAAGAGAGCTAAAATTTTATGGGTGAAATGGTGCCATAGGGTGACTTCTCTTCCACCCCAATGCCTTCTCTTCTTCCTTCTCCTCCACCCCCATTCTAAATCCCATCATCATCATCATCATCCAGGAGCCTTCTACATACGCACCTAAAAGTAAGTGAACTTTTCTATCATTTTTGTTGAATTTAGGAAATTTTCGGTGAGCTGGAACCAATTACCCAAAAACCCATTGAAACAATGGTTTCGGTTAACGAACTTTTCGGTTAACGAACGACCTTCTGGAACGGATTGAGTTCGTTAACCGAGGGGTCACTGTATAGAACATACAGTTTAGTATTTAAAAAAATTATATTAAGACAACTTCTGCTAAGTTACAGTTAAAAATCTTAAGTTGAAAACATATCTTCAGATAATACAAGCATTTAAATAGGAATATGTGCTCCATATAATGTGGTTTTATATACTAAAATGTTTTACAGGAAGGTACATACAGTACATTTAGTGTGTACACCTGTACATACCTGTAAATAAAACCAAGATTTTGTACTGTAAAAATCAAGAGCCAAATCACTGCTCAAAATACAGTAAAAGTCCAAATATCCGGATGCCAGAAATCCGGACCACCCGAGAATCTGGACCTTTTGAAAACTCTTTTTTTTTTTTTTTTGCGGACTTTTGTGTGTATGTGCGCATGCGTGAGTGCCACAGCTGCATAGCGACAACAAGCGACCACGCGGTCGCCACTTTAAAACGAGCAATCAAACTGTGACAACATATGTAATTTTGAGTCCTACTCTTTCCATTTACAGAGTACTGTACAAGCCCATAATAATGGCTCCTAAAGTTGTTGTGTGAAGAGAAAGAAGAACATGTTGAAATTGAGTGACAAACTTGAAATAATTAAGAAACTAGAACGTGGCGTGAGCAATACTGTTCTAATGGAAACATACGACATTGGAAAGTCTACAATTTATGATATAAAAAAGGCAAAGAATAAAATTCTAGAATTCACAGCTTTTTCTTTAAAACTGCTTGTTTTGATAAATGAAGCATGCTATATTTGCTAATGAATAAACTATCAAAATGTACCTGTTCATCTCTTCTTTGTTCCTTCTTAAATTTCAATTTTAAAAGTACTGCCTGAGAATCCGGAAAATCCGAAAATCCGGACCGACCCAATCCCCAAGCAGTCCGGATTTTTGGACTTCTACTGTATGTTAAACTTTGTAAAATCCTTTTTATCATTTCATTTACTAACAAGTACCGTACTGTACTGTACTGGTGTATATATTTATATGCCCACAACTACATAGATAAATTAAATTAACAGGTGGGAGGGTAGCCTTTATTTACCTCAGGTAGTTCTGGCTCTGCCTTGCTGGCTGTTCCCACCCTGTGGGTTGGTGTTAAGAAGGGCATCCAGCCATAAAACTTTGCCTCAACATGTCCGATGGTAACTGGGTCATCAGAGCTGTTATCATCCCCTGGTCTCTGCTGCATTTTCAGGGCTGACACCCATTTGTGGTGATGAGTAATGGGGAGAACCATAAGTGGTAGCTTCAAAGATAAAGATAAGAAAACGCTCCTTGAACTTTATAAGTCTCAAGTACGACCAAGTTTGGATTACTGTGCACAGGCATGGAAACTCTTCCTCCAGAAAGATCTAACATCCCGAGAAAAGGTGCAACACAGAGCATCTAAGATGATTCCAGAACTACTGTACTGTATGTCATTCAATTATCCAAGTAGACTGAGGGCCTTAGGACTAACAACCCTTCAGACAAGGCATAATAAGACAGATTTCACTGAAACATTTAAAATCTTTAAAGGGATGGAAAATGAAAACCTGGATAATTTTTTTAGCGATGTTATGCACAACCAACACGAGAGGACATAACTTGGAGCTCTCCAGGGTGTCATGCAAAATGAACATATGGAAATACTTCTTTACACAGAGTGGTAGACCTATGGAATGGTGTACCAGCCCAAACTGTGGCAGGGAGAACAGTACTGAGCTTCAAAATAGCCCTTGACAAGACTATCAAGAACAAAGGAGGGATCCTACACAGGCCACTGGCCTCCTTCCCTCAGAATGGCCACCTCTAGTGGATGGCCATTAGGTACATAAGGTAGGTATACATGTATAGACAAAAACATATTTTGACATGATCACACTTCCAGATATTTGCATGTACAGTTGGGGAAGTTCTGAGTGCTACAGTCTCCCACAAATGTGAACCCTGTCACTGCCAGACCAGTGAATCACGAACTACCCGGTAGAGTCCATCATCTGGTAACAGTGCGTCGGGGGTTGGGTGGGAGGAGGTGGTGGGGGTGTGTGCAGCATACAGTTGTTGTGTTACTAATTTTGGCGGGTTAATTACGGGTATAAGCAGAAGGGGCTATTATGACTCAGAGATATATGTTTACTTATCCCGAAAATATATGAAAATATAGAGAAGTAACAGGAAAGGAAAACATTGTAAAATACTGAAGCTTTTCACTCTGTGGTGACGTTAACAATACTGCATCAGTAGCCAATCACAATATAGCTGAGGTATTGTCTGGATCACAGAAATATTAAAGCTTATTATCAGCACTGACTTCTCACAATTAATAGGCAGGAGGGACAACTAGGTTTGTCAGGGAGAATTGTGGGGCTGAGAGAATTTCCCCTTACACAGTGCTACCAGAAAAATGGAACTTTACCAGCTCCTTCAAGATCAGTGGTACCCCATTTGTAGGGTTCAAATTCGTAGGTGGGTGTAACACTCAGAAATTCCCCCAGCTGTACAGTACAGTATGTATTATATATATACTGTACAGTATGTATTATATATATACTGTACAGTATACTGTACAGTATTATACATGAGGCGGCCACAGGGATGGAAGACAATGGACCAAATTTATAAACTAATAACACTGCTGTGATAACCTGACCTACAGCTCAGTACAGTACCCCCTGTACAGTAATGATCTGCCTTCTTCAAAACTTATAACAATCATCTGTACGGTACATGATGATAACCTTATGGCCTCTTTATCTACAACTTGTGATAATCAATGTGAAGGACAACAACCCACAAAAATTTTAATAATTATTGAACAAATGAAGATCTGAGAAATAAAACCCGTAAGGAAAATATCTTGAACCACAACACAGAGCGGGAGACTTCATCTTCCCCAGTGGGGTTGACGAGAACTCTGTTCACCATTACGCATACTTTAATGGATCAATATGAGAGCTACAGTAGATACGCTTACTCTAGGCTCTGTAATATAAACTTTACTAACACCATAATTTTTTTTAAAAGACTGGTAGAGTAATTACACTATTCTCACAAATAACTAAATTGGTGATTGAATGCAAAGAAACTGAAACATTCTGCAAAGACATTAACAGTCAATAATAAGATCTTTTAAAAATGTTCCTCCATTACATGGTAGAACAAACAAGGATAAAATGGTTTTTAGGTCATGAGAGCGGTGGAGACCTCCAGCCTGACACCAGGTCTGGTCTGGTGAATGACTGCACTTGTAACAACATACAGTACAGTATATCATAATATCACCACATTTTAGGGAACAAACTTGAGAATTAAACCAAATAAACACTAATACAGCATTAAAATGGCAATACAACACCAGGAACTATAATGGATGCCTGACACAACACAGCTCAGGAGTGTCTGTACTGTACACTCTTGTTTCTTTTTCTTATCAAAACAAAATATTTGAGATTAAGTTATCTGACAAGTGTGAACTGTAATGTATAGTATAAAGATGTGTTTACAAGAAATATACAGTACACTATCACACTACACTGCACTACCACAATGATCATTATATATTCACTGTGGAAGACATATCAAGAGTAAGGTGTGCAGGCATTGAACAGTTTTAAACTCCAAAAATTCAACACTTAATGTCTCACTAATGTACAGTAAGACTTTTAATTCAAAGTGAGTATAAAATTTCAATAGATTCATATACAGCATAAATATATTTTATATTGTTATATTAACTAAACTAGTTGAGCAGTTTTGTAAACCATAAAAACTAGCCGTTGGCACCAGGGTTAGGTTACTGGTACAGTATCTGTGTCTGATGTAAAGCTGTACAAGTCCACTTATATCTATGATCACAGTCCTGCCCTCCAGTTGTACAGTACAGTACTGTACGTATATTGTTCTTACACTAAGTATCAGTAGTTCTCCTCTTGTACAGTACTGTACTGTACGTATATTGTTCTTACACTAAGTATCAGTAGTTCTCCTCTTGTACAGTACTGTACTGTACGTATATTGTTCTTACACTAAGTATCAGTAGTTCTCCTCTTGTACAGTACTGTACTGTACTGTACCTGTCTACCAGGTTGTAGAGAACATTTATAAACGTCCAGTACTGTATCTGTGTGAAGAGGCAACATGAGGTAAATGATCACAACAGAGTGTAACTTGGAATGTTTCAGTATTGTGTGGTTACAAAGATGGAAGTGCACAGTGACCCATGACTGTACTTAAACAATACAGTACTTGTATTCATCACTTAGTCATAATATTTATATCACATACTACTACAGTACAGTATACAGCACTCCTTACTCAATCTGTGTAGTCTTAGTTACTTATGGTGTCTGACCACAATAGTTAGGTCATACCAATCAACATCACCGTACAGTACAGTACTGTATATACTGTATTTTACTATACTATACTGTACTGTGTACACATACAGCTGCTCTACAAGTTTGCTGATACAGCAAAATTTATTACTGTACGTATATAAAACATAAATTGACTGAGATGCTATAGGTACAATATGTGAGCACAAGTTGAAGCACATAATACAACATCAAATAGCACATTTTATACATAATTTTCATCTTCAACAAATACTTCATATTGGAACAACAAACTCAGTCCCTCAGTTAATATGAAATAAATTAAAATTTTACAATAATTGACCCTTAAATGACGGCAGAGGACGAGGGCGGAGGTGTTGGTGCCAGGACTTGGTCAGACTCAGGATCATTGTTCACTCTGTTAGACCAGAATAATACTGAGTTAAATACTACAGTATATGGAGGAGCCTTACTGACACAACTACAGCAGTCAGTAGTCTCACTCAACACATAAAACAATTAACACAAATGGCAATAATTCATATTCACTACTGTCTAAAGGGTAAGTAGTTCTGTATTGATGGTAAGTAGTTCTGAGGAAGTACTATACAGTATTATGTTCCTTTGGGCTTTCTTCATACCAGTACATACCTCAAGATATAAATTATATATTGGAGAGAGAGAGAGAGAGAGAGAGAGAAAGAGAGAGAGAGTATTATAATCATAACTTGAATGTGAGTCAACTGACAGCCCCACAAGAGAAGGGAAAATGCCACACTGTTGGTCCATGTGACTATTGTAACTCTGACTGACAACCTTTTGTCATGAAGGAAAAGGTTGTAAAGATGTTATTGTTTATCACTTTACCTTTAGGTTGATGGAAACCATAATAATAATAATACTATTTTCTTGCACACTTGTGTGTTGTGGTACAGTACAGTATTAGAGACACAGTACAGTACAAGTACTTTCTATTGTCAATATGAAGCTACAGTAAAACGTTGATGTTAAGCGTTCAAATTTCCTCTTCAATTGTTAACTTGTGTCAAAAATTTTCACAAAATGTTTAGTAGTTGGAGCAAGATTAAAGTTATGAAAGTGCCACCAATAATAATATACTGTACTGTAGTTAGTGAGACAGGAGAGGTACAGGCAGCATACAGTACAGTACTGGACTGTAGTTAGTGAGACAAGAGAGGTACAGGCAGCATACAGTACAGTACTGGACTGTAGTTAGTGAGACAGGAGAGGTACAGGCAGCATACAGTACAGTACTGGACTGTAGTTAGTGAGACAAGAGAGGTACAGGAAGCATGATGGTACAGTACTGGACTGTAGTTAGTGAGACAGGAGAGGCACAGGAAGCATGATGGTACAGTACTGGACTGTAGTTAGTGAGACAGTACATGGACTGTAGTTAGTGAGACAAGAGAGGCACAGGAAGTTAGTGAGACAGAGAGGCACAGGAAGCATGATGGTACAGTACTGGACTGTAGTTAGTGAGACAAGAGAGGCACAGGAAGCATGATGGTACAGTACTGGACTGTAGTTAGTGAGACAGGAGAGGCACAGGCAGCATGATGGTACAGTACTGGACTGTAGTTAGTGAGACAAGAGAGGCACAGGAAGCATGATGGTACAGTACTGGACTGTAGTTAGTGAGACAAGAGAGGCACAGGAAGCATGATGGTACAGTACTGGACTGTAGTTAGTGAGACAGGAGAGGCACAGGCAGCATGATGGTACAGTACTGGACTGTAGTTAGTGAGACAAGAGAGGCACAGGAAGCATGATGGTACAGTACTGGACTGTAGTTAGTGAGACAGGAGAGGCACAGGAAGCATGATGGTACAGTACTGGACTGTAGTTAGTGAGACAGGAGAGGCACAGGAAGCATGATGGTACAGTACTGGACTGTAGTTAGTGAGACAAGAGAGGCACAGGAAGCATGATGGTACAGTACTGGACTGTAGTTAGTGAGACAGGAGAGGCACAGGAAGCATGATGGTACAGTACTGGACTGTAGTTAGTGAGACAGGAGAGGCACAGGCAGCATGATGGTACAGTACTGGACTCACCTGTGGCAGTGTTCTGACTCTGTGTCTGACACCACACAAGAGCTCAAGTCACCCTCGTAGTCTTCCTGTGAGTCTGAGAGAGAGAGACGTGTTAGAGATCACCACACAAACAGTAGTGTGTTAATGATCTGTGGCTCGCGAGGGCGGTACATCACTCTACAGTCACAACAGTTGTTCACTCATACACTAATTATTCATCTCTCACCAGTTGAATATTTAGGTCTTCTTCATTCATATATACAAAACAGTTTATGTATGTTATGCAGACTGTACCATGAATTATAATTGTTTATCATGCACTTTGTGGAGTGGATGGTCTAATCTCAACACTTGTAGTACAATACTGAGATACTGTACTTCCTCATGGTGTAGTCCACAACAACTTATTATGAAGAAAATCATTATCCCACAATATTTAAACTGTAAGAAGTAATTTCTGGTTTCTGTAAAAAAAAAAAAGTCATCTTCAAAATTGCTCAGAAAGGCCGAGGAACATCACACGTATTAATCTACAACTCCAAGAAAATATACCACTGATCCTTGCGTAATTTAAGTTAAATAATGTTGATGGTGACAACTCACCACAGGAGGTGTTGCGTACTCTCTGAGACCAGTTCTTGGTGAGAATCTCCTTCCTCAAGTCCCAATGATTATCATCCATCTCTATCTCTCCTTCAGCAATGCCTCCTTCAGCAACGCCTCCTTCAGCTACGTCTCCTTCAGCAACGCCTCCTTCACTGCCGTCGTCCTTCGTCATGTCAAAGATCTCCGTCACTTGCACCTGTCATGTTGTACAGTGTTACCCAAGTAGAGATAAACACTAAATACACCCTACTACATGCACCAAGTTAGCCTTTCATTACCTACTGTACTGTAAGGCCTGACATTATCACAGGCTACCAGCACTGTATTTAAAAGATTCACAACGTGACTATTTACGTCACGAGCCTATGTGTTAGAGTGTATAGTACTTTGGTGTGCTATGGTGAGTAAACAGCTTCACTAACAGTTATAATTTAATCTTGTACTTTACTGTATTATTCTGAAGCTAAACTAAACAAAAGATAACCCAAACATCTTAAGACGATGCTGTATACCATCACTAGTTCACTGGTTCTAAAGTGTGTGGAGAACTTCCATCGTGCACCAACAAATATTTGCACTACTGTAATTCATTTCTTCACATAAAACAGTTTTAGGTCAAAAAAGTGTGCACAGTAATACTCAGGACAACAGTTTAAGCTGGAGAGCCATACAGTAGGTCAGGCAGGTTAAGACTATCATGTTTATAAAGTAAAGTGAGTTTGTAATATTGAGAAAATGTATATAAAAGGGATTTAAAACTTACGGGTGAGGCATTATGACGAATTTAAAATATTTTATGAAATGACCTCACGAGCCATAACCTTGTGCTGAAACTTATTCTTATTTGTCTTACAACATTATAAAACAATATACTATAAGATAAATTAGGGGTTTTGTCAATACAGTACAAAGATCTGATTCACATAATTTAGGGGAGACATAACCCTTGTTAATAACTCGTGACTTACCTCATTGTTATCATCCAGATAGTAGTAAGCCATGAGGGCCTCTTGCCGATTGGTAACGTCCAGTATTTGTTCAAAGGCATCGTCGGTGATCTGCCCGGGTAGAATTTCAGTAACTCCATCATAAAGACTTGGGTCTGACAGGTCGTTGAGCGATGGTCTACGAGACACGGCTCTCGAGACCGCCCGGGAAGCACAGCGAGATGCAATGCGTGAGCCGGGTCTTGACGTGGCCCGAGACACGGAGCGTGCGGCACAGCGCAGAGCCACCTCGGTCAAGGCTTGAGACTCCAGCAACATGGCGTCCTTGTGGCTCTGTGGTACACCCTTCCTGTTGGACCACAAACGTCATCATATTATCTTGTTTTAGCACCATAACACAGACTGGGATCGTCTATACTTTACAACCCAGCTTACTTCACCTGAAGATGAACCACACCTAATGCTAAAGTAACCTACCCTAACAGTACAGTACCTGAGGAAGGTAAGTTAGATTAACATTAGGGTGCAGGTGAAATAAACTGGGGTGTGTAATGTTTAGATGATCCAGATTGTTATCACCATCATCTTCAACTGCAGAATAATTAATACAATTTGATAATGTTAAAAACAACAGATATTCTTCATAGCATACATCCTACATGTAAAACACAACTTAAGCCCTTTATAAATTATGTACAGTACTGTACTTTTATTTTGTACAATGTGAACAAACACCATTTGTTTGTGTAAAGCTGGAGTTACTATGTCTCAGTTGTGCTGTACAGTATTGTGCATCTCCTTGGCAACATGTGCAACAATAATCATTATTATTATGGTCCAGTAAGAGGTAGAGGCAGGTGACTTACAGGTCGTCCAGATCAAGAGTAAAGTCAAAGTTGTGACGGTTCTGGAGGTGTTGCATCTCCACTTGACCTGTAAAATAAAAACTTCTTTACAATCATGTTATCCACTCATCAACAACTGCCAGTGATCACCAAGGCAGCTACATTATATTAAGAGGTCGACCATGTTGTGGGTCTGTACAAACTAATTATCTACAGAACAAAAGGTCATAAAATATTTCAGTTCCCTTTTTTCTTACACCTTCTAATTATTAATTTTCCTTTCTAAAATATAAGCACATAATATACCCATTAAAGGATGAGTCTGTCTGGCCAGGAACATAACAACATGTACTGTAAATCTTTTACAAACGTCTAAATAATCAATCTGATAAACTTTATGTTGTTTCAATGTCATCATAAGGCCTCCACAACTCACACTGACTCACTCACTTGCAGTATACAGTACATTGTACAGTAACAATCTACCAGCTCATCACTTTAACAAGTGACTTGCACTTCAACGGAATCATGTACTGTACTGCACTGTATTGTATTGTACTGTACTGAATTGTACTGTACTGAATTGTACTGTACAGAATTGTACTGTACTGTATTGTATTGTACTGTACTATTTACATGTTATCCTTCCTATAATGTACCATGATATCTTTCTTAAGCTGTCAGTCCATATCTGCAATTAACAGCTTCTGTGGGTTTGGCCTCTGTCATCAAACATGAAATGTGAGGTGACGGCCGCCCTTCTGGGGGTACTGTAGGTCTAGAGGGGGGTGGGGCAATAAGACTGCCTGCATATATGGAGACTTAATATATTTTCTGAATATGTGCCACAGGTGTGTGTGTGTGTGTGTGTGTGTGTGCGTGCATGAGTCTGTCTGCTGCTCTTCATCTAATAATAACCTTTATGGGGGTCAATCAAAACTAAGTTCTTCTCTTTGTTTATTGAGTGCTACAAGGCATCTGTGTATCACTGAATGACACTCTTCACTAAGACAGATCAAGTATTAGGGGAGATACTGTACAGTACTCTGTTCTTCCCTTCTACTGTACTGTACTGTACTGTACTGTACTCTATACAGGGGAATAAAGTAAAGAGTCACTCGTAGTATTACAAAATCTGCCCAATAAACCTATAAAAATAGTCTATATATGAGTCACCTGTAATATAACACATTATATATCTAATAAAAGTTGAGATGATTCTGAGGTTATACAAGATAACCCTAAGACACAAATGTACTATATTAAATATTTAGAGAATAAAATCTTTGGTATACAGTAGTGAGAACACATCCACAATGCTGTACGTGTTACCAGCACATGATGAACACAACTATTTTGTTCACAACTTTAGTTAATTTGTCCTGATAAACATAGGACCTTAAGGAGTAAAGGAGCAGATGTGGCTCCTCGGTCGACCCAGTGAGTGTGTTTGAAACAGTCCGTGAGTACAGTTACACACAAATACTGTACTGTACTGTACAGTCTCTACTACTGCACCACACAGACTGAAGGTAACGAGCAAAAGGAGGAAGAGCTCATCAGTTGGGTTCTAGAGGCGAGGGGAGGTACTGTACAGGTCCAGGTTTATCACAGCATTGATAAGTACACTTTAAAATCTTCCTAAAATGAGAAGGAAATGTATTTATTGCTCTTTAACCAGAGGAGTTGGCCTTGGGGACTGCATGTGAGGTGAGGTGACCAGGCATTAAGAGGCTGTAGCTCCCAGGCTGTGGTGGGGGAGTAGCTCTGGTAAGAGTAACAATATTCTCAACAATAGTCTTGATGCAGGAGCTGATAATGACCATAGTCTTGGAGGACACACTGTGACTTTGCTTCAGCTCCTTCAACATATAATTGTTATACACTTCTTTCTTCCTGCCTTTCCTTTTCTTGTTGCACCAAAATGAGGACTTCTGAATTCTGCCGGCCTTCCTGGCAGCCTTTCCCGAAGCTTTTGAGAGAATTTCTGGACGCGGGTCACGTAAATATACAGTATGTTAATATCGTGAAATGTTGCTTAAAAATATATATCACACGACAATCTACTGAGTATGTCGCTGTCGGCACTGTTAATTTACACCAATACTTACATACACCTTCCTAACACATTGTTAATTTACACCAATACTTACATACACCTTCCTAACACATTGTTAATTTACACCAATACTTACATACACCTTCCTAACACATTGTTAATTTACACCAATACTTACATACACCTTCCCAACACATTGTTAATTTACACCAATACTTACATACACCTTCCTAACACATTGTTAATTTACACCAATACTTACATACACCTTCCCAACACATTGTTAATTTACACCAATACTTACATACACCTTCCTAACACATTGTTAATTTACACCAATACTTTACATACACCTTTCCCAACACATTGTTAATTTACACCAATACTTATATACACCTTCCAACACATTGTTAATTAATACCACATACACCTTCCTAACACATTGTTAATTTACACCTAATACTTACATACACCTTCCCAACACATTGTTAATTTACACCAATACTTACATACACCTTCCCAACACATTGTTAATTTACACCAATACTTACATACACCTTCCTAACACATTGTTAATTTACACCAATACTTACATACACACCTTCCTAACACATTGTTAATTTACACCAATACTATATACACCTTCCCAACACATTGTTAATTTCACAATCACTTACATACACCTTCCTAACACATTGTTAATTTACACCAATACTTACATACACCTTCCCAACACATTGTTAATTTACACCAATACTTACATACACCTTCCCAACACATTGTTAATTTACACCAATACTTACATACACCTTCCTAACACATTGTTAATTTACACCAATACTTACATACACCTTCCCAACACATTGTTAATTTACACCAATACTTACATACACCTTCCTAACACATTGTTAATTTACACCAATACTTACATACACCTTCCTAACACATTGTTAATTTACACCAATACTTACATACACCTTCCTAACACATTGTTAATTTACACCAATACTTACATACACCTTCCCAACACATTGTTAATTTACACCAATACTTACATACACCTTCCTAACACATGTTACCTACACCACACTTACATACACTTCCTAACACATTGTTAATTTACACCAATACTTACATACACCTTCCCAACACATTGTTAATTTACACCAATACTTACACCTACACCTCAATACTTACATACACCTTCCTAACACATTGTTAATTTCTACACCAATACTTACATACACCTTCCCAACACATTGTTAATTTACACCAATACTTATATACACCTTCCTAACACATTGTTAATTTACACCAATACTTACATACACCTTCCTAACACATTGTTAATTTACACCAATACTTACATACACCTTCCTAACACATTGTTAATTTACACCAATACTTACATACACCTTCCCAACACATTGTTAATTTACACCAATACTTACATACACCTTCCCAACACATTGTTAATTTACACCAATACTTACATACACCTTCCCAACACATTGTTAATTTACACCAATACTTACATACACCTTCCTAACACATTCATTTCTCCTTTCATTGCCACAAGAAAACCCCCCACATTTATACACAGGTGGAAACACTGTCATTATTCCCCACCTGAGAACTGTGTGATGGCCAGCTGGCAGGAGAACTTGCTGTCATGGTGATGCTGGTGGTGCAGAGTCGACTGTGAGGAGGAGCGGATCATTGCCTGGACCAGGGTGATCATCTGTCCAGCCAAGTTCTTGATGTCATGGGTTGTTGGCGCTGAACCCATGAACCTGTGAGATAATAACCCACTTAACAACCACCATCCATGACTCTGTGAGGTAACAGCTCACATAACAATCCCTGCTCTAGTTGTCACACCAACAACTTCATCACAAACCTTACCTTTACTTACTTGGCTAAACATTACTAATACAAGTAGTTTCTGTCATTATAAACCAAGAGAACAAATAAGGTAAATACTATATAGGTACACCACTGTTGTAGTTAATAAACCAAAAGTTAAGATAAATCTCATATTGACCCATCATACAAATATACTTTACTGTAAACACTGTTTTACACATTACAAGTACCAGTACAAAAGCTTCAGTAGTGTACTGTCATACAGTACATAATGGTGTCAACATATAGCAATGTGGGAGAGGTTTTGAGTATCTTAAAGGGAAGGAGGAAAACACTTGTCTGGGGAATACTGTACAGTACAATGTTAACTTACTGTAAGTATGTGAGGAAGGGTGTGGACATGCATGTGTGTGTAAGTACATGAGTTACTCTGTGCAGACTATGAAAAAAACAAGAACAAAAAACTTTAATTATAAAGGATAATAAAGAGTGAATCATAAATGTGCACAAAAACTGATGTAGTGTCTCAGTGGTGACTACATATCTAAGTAGAGTACAGTTCATGAAAGGTTCTGACCTCAGCTCCCAGGAACACTATACAGTACAGTACTGGCGGATGGTGGACAGCACAACAGTACTCATACTTCTTCAGTCTATACAAGGTGACAAAACACACTATATCACAACACAACACTACCTGTACAATCACTCACATATATTTACTTCAAAAATTATCACATTATTTTTTACTAATAAATTGATATATCAGATATATAAATAACCATAAATGTTTACACATATAATGTCCACTTCAAGAAAACAAAACAAAAAAGTGGTGATAATATGGACACAGATAAAGACAGAGAGAGAGAGAGTGACTCACTTGAGGAAGGCAGCATAGGCAACATCAATGGGCAACACATAAGGTAGTGTCAGTATGGACAAAAGCTTCATAGACTTGTGTTTGAAGACCCAGTTCATGAGGCCTTGGTTGGCGTTGTTGATGGCATCTTGTAGAATACATCCAACAGCCTCTGGGAGTTGGTCTATGATGGCCTCCTGTGTGTGTATTAGTACAGCTCTTAGTCTCATACTGTACTGTACTGTTGAGTTAGTACAGCTGGAGGTTAACTGCGTGACACTCAAAACTAAGTAAGTGTTGGTGGTACACAGCTGTGTTATCACCCACCCATACTGCACTGGTCCTCACCCCAGAGCTCTGCTTCATAACAGAGTTAAGTTAAGACTCAAAGATTTACAAACACTCAGACGATGGTGAACATACAATATTTTCATCTTAGTTTTTCTTTAGTGATAAAGATAATTAGTTACCTTTCCATGTTTACAGCAGTCAAGACAACCCAACTCATCCATCTCCATGGAGTGACTCTCTGCTTCCTGTAAGGTGAACCTTTGTTAATGTTGTCACCACTCTACTTTACATACTGTTTCATTCTATCTAGTGACTACCGGTAACTCTTATTATTTTTGTCATTTACATAACACAATAATATATTTTGTCCCTCATTAACTGAAAGTTTGTAAGACAGACCAGTGATGTCACCGGTAGATGGGGTGTCAGTACACCCTCAACAACTGAAGTGACCTACAGTGGTGTCTGTGTGGATAAGCCACACATACAGTAAAGACACTCGACCCTTAACATGGAACAATATATAGTGAAATTTTCCTTTAAGGTACAAGAATATCATTTTATGCAATCTATCACTAACACTGATCACCTCAAGATTAGCCCACAGGCCAAGCTTGTTTCACCTGAAGATTAACCACCGTAATGGTAACCTAACAATCTAACCTGACTTGACCTAACCCCCCAGATAGTACAGTATTAGGATGATCAATCATCAGGTGAAACAAGCTGGGGAACTAATCTTAAGTTGATCCCAAACATTTTCTGAACACAAACAAATCACAAGCTACAGAGGTTAAAACTTACCGTTATGTTAAATTTAGAACTAACAGCCAGACATCTCGTGCAGTTGATCAAGTTGTTTCTCTGGAGAAAGTCGAGGGCGTCGTTAAAACCTTGTTGACACATCTTGTTGAGGACTTGGGGCGGCGGGGGAAACAATATGCGGGCAAACCGGTACAAGTTCTCCTTACTGAGCTCAATGCTGGTGTTGGCCAGGTTGATCTGTACACACCACATATTTGGTCCCGTTAGCACAAACTATATAGTACAGTAATTCCTAATACAATCATTCATTAATATGCAAGTGGTAATTTATCTTTATATCATTAAAGACTAAAATTTTATTTCTATTCAATAACTTTAATAAAAAACATCATAGTTTACAAAGCTTGAATTACTAAGTTAGTCAATGTTACTAAGTAAGGTAGAATACATACAAGGAGGAGTTAATGCAAAATAGTCAAAAGTTCCTTCTTATATAAACTGTACTGCTCAACACACAAGACTCAACACATAAATTTTATCTTGCTCAACTACAGCCAACGTTGATAACATGACAGAGAAACATAATAAAGTACAGTACAGTCAGAGATAAAGACCTTCATCTATATACAAGGTTTACTGCTCATGATAACAAGATGAGAAGCAGTAACGTATACAGTACAGTAAGCTATATAACAATAATTAATACAAACAGAAGATGTTACTCAAGCATTGCCTTATAATAAAGAAGACAAATGACACAGCAGCCTGAGAGGTGTTTACTGTACTGTAGTGTAATCTTTAACTGAGTTTTGTACCTTTGTCATTCGTCTCCTTGTGGCCCGTAGCACCTCACAGAACTAGGACAAAGGTGACATACAGAAGCGGCTGTGACGAGAAACTCACACACACGCAGCAGAGACTAAGCACTTTATAGACAGCAGAGATTTAAAGTTTAGCGGAAAAGTAGTAAAACAAGGGGCCCCGACAGCTGAGGCAAGACAGCCGAGTCGCAGGTCTGTGCAGTATGGACAGATAACGTTGACGGAGTTCTGTACACAAGAGACACCTCCCTCCTCACACCACTTTAATACGGACACACAAACGGACACATGCAGTACAGTTAAAATAAAGAAACATTTCAGACTTACAGCTGAACTAAACATTACATAGACAAACAAACAAGTGAATAATGTAATGCGAGAGGCAGTGAAGTAGGTGACACTTATAAATAGCATTAATTATGAACCAAGACAGATAAACCAACCTCCCATAAATCTTGTGACCAAATGTGTTTAAGATAGGACACACCATAATGTATGTGAACACAGCCAACATGAGTGATCCCACACTGGTAACTGGTACACAATATCCCACACTGGCACACAATATCCCACACTGGTACACAACATCCCACACTGGTAACTGGTATACAATATCCCACACTAGTAACTGGTACACAATATCCCACACTGGCACACAATATCCCACACTGGTACACAACATCCCACACTGGTAACTGGTACACAATATCCCACACTGGTACACAAGAACTGTACGCTTCCGAGGGGCTGTCTCCACCTTTCAGTCACTCACCTGTGGCGTCCCCCAAGGCACCAAGATGGGACCACTCTGCTTCCTTATGCTCATCAATGATACCCTAAGAGAAACCCCTGCTCGCTGGAAATATGTCGACGACTCCAACATTGGGATCCGCGTCAACAATTCTGCTCCCAACTATACCGCCCTTCAGGATTTATTGAACAGTCTCCAAAACTGGGCCACCAACAACCATGTCACCATCAACCATACCAAGACCATGGTTATGCACATCAACCTCTCCTCCGACATTGTCCCACCTCCTTCCATTACTTTAGGTCCGAACACACTCCAAGTTGTAGATTCCACGAAGCTCCTCGGCATCACCATAGACAACAAACTAAATTGGAAACCAAACGTCAGTGAAGTTATCAAATTCTCCAGTTTCCGTCTCCACCTCCTCCGCCGACTCAAGTCCCTCGGAGTTCTTGCACCCGAGCTCCTCAGTGTTTACACAACATTCATACTTCCCAAGCTCACCTATGCCTCCCCCACCTGGTCTTCCTCCCTAAATGCCACACAACGTAAACACCTAGAAAAAGTGCAAAAAAGGGCATGCAAGATTATTCTCTCCCCTTCCTACTCCACATATCAAGAAGCGCTCAACACACTGACCCTCTCGACTCTCACTGACCATCACCACGACCTCCTCTGCAAATTTGGTGAAGAAGCTTCTACACCATCACCGCTCCTACTACCACCTGAGATCCCTAGCCCGAGAATTGCTGTTCGACACCACAACCGCATCCAGCCCATAAGTGCACGAACTGATCGCTATAAGAACAGCCCAGTCCCAACCATTGTAAAAATTATCAATAACTTGTAATAAACCAGTGTATTCACTCCCAGTAAACACTACTTGCACTGTCACTATGTTGAAATGCACTGTAGTTTGAGCTTTTCCCCATCTAGTTATTATATATCTTATTTGTATCACTTATGTTACTTGTATATTATTTGTAATTCGAAACCCATTCCCCAAATATGTAACTGTATATTTTCAGCCTTCTGGCTGCCAAGCTCTTTCAATAAACCGTTAATTATTATAATTATTATTATAATATCCCACACTGGTAACTGGTACACAATATCCCACACTGGTAACTGGTACACAATATCCCACACTGGTAACTGGTACACAATATCCCACACTGGTAACTGGTACAAAATATCCCACACTGGTAACTGGTACAATATCCCACACTGGTAACTGGTACACACACTGGTAACTGGTACACAATATCCCACACTGGTAACTGGTACACAATATCCCACACTGGTAACTGGTACACAATATCCCACACTGGTAACTGTACACAATATCCCACACTGGTACACAATATCCCACACTGGTAACTGGTACACAATATCCCACACTGGTAACTGGTACACAATATCCCACACTGGTAACTGGTACACAATATCCCACACTGGTAACTGGTACACAATATCCCACACTGGTAACTGGTACACAATATCCCACACTGGTAACTGGTACAATATCCCACACTATACACACACATCCACACTGGTAACTGGTACACACATCCCACACTGGTACACAATATCCCACACTGGTACACAATATCCCACACTGGTACACAATATCCCACACTGGTAACTGGTACACAATATCCCACACTGGTAACTGGTACACAATATCCCACACTGGTACACAATATCCCACACTGGTAACTGGTACACAATATCCCACACTGGTACACAATATCCCACACTGGTACACACATATCCCACACTGGTACTGGTACACAATATCCCACACTGGTACACAATATCCCACACTGGTAACTGGTACACAATATCCCACACTGGTAACTGGTACACAATATCCCACACTGGTACACAATATCCCACACTGGTAACTGGTACACAATATCCCACACTGGTACACAATATCCCACACTGGTACACAATATCCCACACTGGTAACTGGTACACAAGTAATAATGTATCGTGTACCGTGATCAAGCCGGCCGTACTGTCTTTAGGGCAGATGTCCGCTTCACCACAGAACGGCGTGACAGTGAAGGTGTTTTCGTCCACCTCGGGAAGGTTGTTAGTGAAGCCTCCGTCAATATACCTCACTCCCTTCACCTTAGGACACAGCCAGCCACTGAACCCGGGGATGAACGCTGAACACAGTAGGGCCTGTCATGGTTCTCCCAGTCAATTGTGATGTCTACATTTTATATTACAGTACAGCTGCTGACACATCCCTTTATATTACAGTACAGCTGCTGACACATCCCTTTATATTAGAGTACAGCTGCTGACACATCCCCTTATATTAGAGTACAGCTGCTGACACATCCCTTTATATTAGAGTACAGCTGCTGACACATCCCCTTATATTAGAGTACAGCTGCTGACACATCCCCTTATATTAGAGTACAGCTGCTGACACATCCCCTTATATTAGAGTCCCCTTATATTAGAGTACAGCTGCTGACACATCCCCTTATATTAGAGTACAGCTGCTGACACATCCCCTTATATTAGAGTACAGCTGCTGACACATCCCCTTATATTAGAGTACAGTTGCTGACACATCCCCTTATATTAGAGTACAGCTGCTGACACATCCCCTTATATTAGAGTACAGTTGCTGACTCAACTCACTACATAATAACCTCAACAGTGAGTTAAACAACATCCCGGTGTAATGTTTCAGCGGCCAATAAATTTTGTTTTATCATATTGAAGATCACTTCACCCCCCCCCTCACCCATCAGCCCCTATTACCAGTACTGTACTGTATAGGCAAAAAATACTGTATACATTGTTCAATATACTGTATACACTGTTCAGTATACTGTATACACTGTTCAGTATACTGTACACTGCTCAGTATACTGTACACTGTTCAGTATACTGTATACACTGTTCAGTATACCGTATACACTGCTCAGTATACTGTACACTGTTCAGTATTCTGTATACACTGTTCAGTATTCTGTATACACTGCTCAGTATACTGTACACTATTCAGTATTCTGTATACACTGTTCAGTATTCTGTATACACTGTTCAGTATACTGTACACTGCTCAGTATACTGTACACTGTTCAGTATTCTGTATACACTGTTCAGTATTCTGTATACACTGCTCAGTATACTGTATACACTGCTCAGTATACTGTATACACTGCTCAGTACACTGTATACACTGCTCAGTACACTACACTGTTCACACAAAGTCAACAGAACTGATGATGATACCCAGATAGACAGAAAATGTTCATTTAAAGTCATGTTCTCCAAGGTAAAGAACATTAAGTACAGTATAGTACAGTACAGCACAGCACAGGTGATGTTTGTAGCCCAGTTCACACTTTAATGGTACACTTACAGTACACAGTCTCAATCACTGTCACCAATATTTGTTTCCTTATTTACCTAATGGTCACCCACTAGAGACGGCCATGTCAGTGGTCAGTGTAGGATCCTTCCATTGTTCATAATTTTGTCAAGGGCTACTTTAAAGCCCAATACTATTCCCAATTATACAGCTTGGGCTGGTAGACCAAACCATAGGTCTACCAGCCTCTTTGTGATAAAATATTTCCTGTTACTGTGTTCATTCTGCATGACATCTTTGTGACCTTGTAGTTATGTCCTCTCGTGCTGGTGGTGCGTGACACTACAGAGAAATGTCCCGGGTTCACATTTTCCATCCCTCTCAGGATTTTTAACGCTTCGGTGAGATCTGCCGTATTATGCCTTGTCTGAAGGGTTGTTAGTCCTAAGGCCCTCAGTCTGCTTAGATATACTCGTATAATTGAGATGACATACAGTACAGTAGTTCTGGAATCATCTTAGTCACTCTGTTTGCACCTTTTCTCGGGATGTTAAATCTTTGTGGAGGTAATACAGCAGGTGATAGGTGATATACAGTAGTATGGTTAACAGTACAGTATAATGATACACATCACCCCAGTGTAGTGCCTTAACTAAGAAGACTCTTACAACTGTTCATCCAGTTTATTGTTTTACACAAATTATTCCCAACAAACTGGAAATGATTAGCCCTAACACGAGATTGTGACCATAATGTAAGTTTTGTGGTGGTCTATGAACTTTTCACTTACACACCACAAGAACTAAGGCTGTAATATGTGTATCTCTCACCACTGTCTTCTGGTGTCAGTCTCGAGCCCAGGACACATGAGATGGGTGTTATCCTACCAAACATGGCAGCTGTCCTCCTGTACTAACATTAGACCATGGAGGATGACCATCACTACTAAACAAATAATCAATAAATAAAACCTAAGAGAAATACACGCACTGTACGGCATTCCCTGATCAGCGGGTTGCTTACAACTACTATACTGCACCAAGTTATTTACTGACTTACAACACAAGAGTCAACTACCTAAGTAAGCAAAGTATAGTACAACACTGCCAAGATGAACACTTAAAAATTTACCATCAACTGACTTAGTCTAAGATACTGTACTTCTACTTTAACTCTACACAGATGCTGCGAGCAGCCCGAACGACTGTACTGTACCGAGTAAGAAATATCCTGGCGGTCTCTGGGGCAGATGTCTGCATGGCCAGCAAAAGGGCTGACAGAGACGGTGAGATCGTCAAGTTGTGGCAGATTATTGCTGCATACACCATCCAGGTAACGCACCCCTCTGAAGGCTGGGGGAAGCCACCCACTGAACCCAGGGATGAAACACGAGCACAGCACAGCCTGTATGAACAAGTTCCCACTGACACACAGGAAGCTCTCTTACCTGTACTGTACACACCATATGACTGTGTGAAGGACCCTTGGTGCACATGTAGGTACATGTGCAGTGTACATTCGAGTGTGAGTAAAATCAAAGGTATGAGTAAATATACTGTACATACTGTACGTCACTTGAACGAGTTTCACATTAACGATTCATCACAATAATAAAATGCAACACCTCAACACATTATCGATACATTTCAACACAATAACGATCAGTAGTGCAAGTTGATAGTCATTCTGGTCTGCCATCTTGATGATGTCAGCGAGCGGAGCTGTTTATTTTGATCATAGCGTGTGAACTGGTGTAACCTACTCACTTATCTGTGACAGTGTTGTGTAACTTGCTGCTACTGCTTCAGCAAGAGTCCACATTCAAGAAGGAGATGACGGCACTGTTTTTTTACTTTTATCCTCTTCACCACTGATCGGCTCGTTAGCCGCTTGGGCGATCAGTCACGTCTCTGTTACACACTGTTGGTAAGAACTGGGCATGAACTGGCTCCTGAATGTATCTGAACCTGCTCCAGTGCTTGTCAAGTCTGGTCTTGAAACTGCTCACACTCGGTGCCGTCACAACACACTCTGGCAGATTGTTCCAAGAGTTCACAACTCTTACTCCAAAAAAGTCACCCCTCACAGTTTTCTGGACTTGTGGCTTCTTCAACCCCGTGTGGGGCGAGCGTCCACCAGCTCCAGGTAAGGACACTCAACACTCAATTAGCTCACCCCTTGCCCGTCTGTAGTATAAGCTAGGCAACTGCAGGCGCTATAATCTCTTGGGGTAGCTGAGGTGCTGTAGTTCAGGCACCAGTCTGGTGGCCTTCCTTTGGACATTTTCAATCAACTGACAGTCCCTAGCATATCTCAGGGACCGGACGGGGTGACAGTACTCCAGACAAGGAAGCACCTCACTCTTGAAGATCGTTAGCGAGGGACGGACCGTCCAGATATCTGAACGATGATAAGGTTCAAGATTTACCTATGCGTTATCTGTTAGATGATTTACCACTAGACTTCACTGGCTTAGAGACTGAAGGAACAGTTGGTGGTGGTGGTGCTGGGGAAGCAGCACAGTGTGGGGGCATTAACACCACTACCCTGCCTTGGGTGACAGCAGTTCAGTGAGTGTCTAAAGGTTAGTTATTATTAGTTATTAACTCTACATGCAGTATTAATGTGTGTGAATAAGTGGTTGTAATATTTAGTGGAGTTTATAGGAGGTGAAAGAGTTTGAGGGCTGGTACATTTAGCATGTAAACTATACTCACCACATTAAAGATTTTCACTTAATGGCCATTTTCGTGGTACCAATTCGTCGTTAAAGTGAAGTATGGACTGTAACTGCATAAACTGTATTGTATGCTTTTATGCATGCTTACGTGTGTGTGTGGAAAAATTTGTTTTTACTTGAATATACAAAATGGTTGATTAAATAACCTGCTTCAGCTGAGGCACTGGAGAAGTAAGATGATGAGTGTCACCAAGACTAATTATACTTTATGAAAGGTCAAGGTTGTGGAAGGGTAAGGCGTCATAACAACCCTTAAGCTTGTTATATATTTGTGCTGTTAGCACGGAACGGCACTGTACAGTAAGGCTTCTATGGCCACTAGTATGTCAAGCAAGAAGTGCCGTACAGTACTGTATATGGTCCTTCTTATCTCCTTATATTTTCACCCACAAAACCCTTCCTCCAGCACCAGACTACAGCACAGTACAGTGGCTTCATAACAAACTTCAAAATAATACTGTACTGTACTGTACTGTCACAGTACAATAGTCATAAATTGAGAGAGGACATCCAATTTTTTATCACCTTTAGTTTTTTTTTATAATATACAGTTGTTTGTGATGATAAATTTGCAAGTCCTGTACAAGTAAAGTAACATTAATAATGTATCTTCTTTGATAATGATGTGAAGCTCCGCAGTAACTTTAAACGGACGCATAACAAAATTAGCTGAAAATATACAATGGATGATGAAGTTGAGGCTATAGACCGATGATGTATTGAAGTAAGTGAACCACACACAGTACAGTGTTGTGGTCGACTCTTGTCCTGTGGCTTCTCTTACTATATACTGTGTTCATCACAGCCTTGCAGCAGATCATCTTTGTTTTCTGGCACTTTATACTTGTCATGGTGATCAACCTCTGACCTGGAGCTCCTCATATACGACTTCCAACAAAGACAATGATGATAACATCACCAGGTGTAGGGGGGTGAGCTACCAGATACTGTAATGCTGTATTGGTAGTCTAGTAAATTATTTACACCATTCCATATTACACAACTCCTGTTCAGTAATCTTTCATGGCATTTACACTTTGATAAGTTGACATCAGATAAAACAAGCACTTTGTTTTACCAAGAAAAAAGTCCAACACTTGATAAAGAATGAATCAACAGACCATAATATTATACAGTACAACAATAACATGAGAAGAGAGCACTAATGAGAGTCACAAGTATTCATGTTCATGCATAACTAAACATGATGCAGAAGAACAAGTTGAGAATCATGCAAGTAAGAAAAAATATTGAAATGGTGTGATAAATGAAGCAACAGCTCATGAGGGAAGCGTGCAGAGGAACACTGTGGTCTCCCGAGGCAGATCTACACCTGCATGAAGTTGACGTGAGAGTCTCTGGGACAGATGTCAGACTCTCCACAGAATGGGCTAACGGTGACGGTGTTGTCGTCCAGCACGGGCAGGTTGTCGCTGAACCCCCCATCAATGTAACGAACTCCGCGGAATGAGACGGGAAGCCAACCACTGAATCCAGGTATGAACGCTGAACACAAAATGGCCTACCAACAAGACACAGCTGTAGTGAGTCTTATGGGATTAATAGTACATCCAGAGCATGATAACTGAAGCTCAACAACTGTGTAATATAATGGAGAGCAGCAATAAAGACAACTTTACCTCATACTATATAAGTCAATTTACAAGATAGAAACAAAATTAATTATATGTTCAGTGAAGCAGTGTACAGTGACCCCTCCGTTAACGAACTCAATCACTTCCAGAAGGTCGTTCGTTAACCGAAAAGTTCGTTAACCGAAACCATTGTTTTAATGGGTTTTTGGGTAATTGGTTCCAGCTTACCGAAAATTTCCTAAATTCAACAAAAATGGTAGAAAAGTTCACTTACTTTGAGGTGTGTATGTAGAAGGCTCCTGGATGATGATGGGATTTAGAATGGGGGTGGAGGAGAAGGAAGAAGAGAAGGCATTGGGGTGGAAGAGAAGTCACCCCATGGTGCCATTTCACCCATAAAATTTTAGCTCTCTGGTGTAATTCAAGATTATTTTCTTTAAATCAACACTGCACTGCATTATATATTGTCACTATATAAAATATATTTCAAAATGACCAATAATTTGCTTGGAAACACAGAAAAAAAGCGTTTAGATGAAGAGAGTCTCAAGCAAGATGTTACCTCCAGTGAAAACAGAGAGAGACTAACGCCTGTTTGCTGTGTTAACAGGCTGGATGCCGCGCATTAAACTAGTCACTTTACCTTCAGTTATGTTCAATAATTGTTAAAATGACTAAAAAATTGAATATTAAACTTTTAAAATTATTGAATAGTATAAACTTCTTGATATTTACTAAAATAGTAAGGAATTTAAGCCCTAGAACCGATTAATGTATTGGCGGACTGATACTAAAGCTGGTTGCCCGGTCAGTGCAAGCGAAAACATGTTGAGGTCGGTTCGTAAGAACTTCGTTAACCGAATTTTTTTTCGTTAACCGAATTGAAGATCCTTATGGAAGGCAGTTCGTTAATCGAAATTACGTTAACCGAGGTGTTCGTTAAACGAGGGGTCACTGTAATTCATTTTTTATTCATATCCATTTTGTGACTGGGTGATGTGGAAGCAATTGTTAGTTAATCTAAAGCACTTCATTATATATTTGATTTATAATTAAAATTTTGCAAAAATTATATGGTTAATGCATCACCATGCCAGATAATGTAGCCATCTTTCTTTTAACTATAATTAATAATGTTAATATTATCCTAACAACTATTAATACTTAACATCATCCTCAGGAATATATTAGACTAAAGTGGTTATGACCCGACCACAAGTAACCATACCTGGACAAGTTCCTCTCGTGTGTCAAACTGGGAGAGGAGGATGTTTTTGCCGTCACTCACACGGGTCACAGAGATGAACAACTTGCCGCTGACAATCTTATGGGCGTCGTCCGGCAGAATCTGAGCGACAGAAAAGACGTTAAGATAATGTTTCCATCTACCGGGTGAGGCTCATCATAGGTATTAAAACTGAAGGTTCTCCGTCTAGGTGGCCAAGAAAGATGGTCTGACGCGTGTGGGGTTTATGCCTCAGATGAAGGGAAACTTATAAAACACGAATTATATCTCTGGAATAATTTACTTGACCAAACTAACTTGAATAAAATGGAGGCCTCTCTCTCCAGTACCTATCTACTACTGTATATGGTAATATATCTCTTAAGTTTTATCTAATTTAATACACTGTTCTCTCTCTCCATACACTAAGACATACGAGCAAGTTGTATAAAGATAAGTGTCAGCTATAGGAAAAAAACATTAGCTCTCCTGCTGAACACAGAAGTGTCTTGTAACCTTGAGAGCCTTTGAGGAACAGTGTGGATACAGCACAGTAAATTAAGGCTTTAGTACACATGCAGGAAATGTGCTCACCACTGTACTTGACTGCCTTCACTTCCTCAACTGTAAAATTAGATACCCATTTATAGTGTAGGTGGATGGATCATGACTGCCACAGAGTCTCAGGACAGGACTGGAGTACTGTATCCACTTGGCCAGTGTTCTCAAATATCAAATACAAAACAACTCAGTGAGGCATTATTACCAGAACCTGCATTGCACACAAAACATCAACACTACAGTAGTACAGCATTTATCAACAACTATGACTAAAGCAAAGACAACAATGATGGTAAGACAATAACAAGAGTTACTGTATTGTACTGTAGTGTATTGTACTGTAGTGTATTGTACTGTAGTGTATTGTACTGTAGTGTATTGTACTGTACTATATTGTACTGTAGTGTATTGTACTGTAGTGTATTGTACTGTACTATATTGTACTGTACTTCGATAACATCTTCCACCTGTTTGTCATAATTAATACAGTTCTCCATAACTAAGTATTAGGCCCCAGCTTATCTCACCCTAATGCTACCTGTAGAGGTTAGGTTAGGTTAGCATTAGAGTGGTTACCTTTAAGCTGGGAGCTACTCTTCAGGAGATACCAATAACTTTCCTCAATACAAAATGGTAACAACTTTACCTGGTTACTGTACACGATTACCTTGTGAGATTTACAACAAAACTATTTCTATAATGTTTGAGGAACAAATCAAATAATACCAGAGGGAGATAGAGAGAGAGAGAGAGGTGATTTGTACCAGAGTAGAGTAGAGTAGAGTAGAGCAGAGTACTTACACTCAGCAGACCTTCCCTCAGCAGCTTCTCCACATTAAATGTTGGACTGAAGGGTCCAAGAGTCCTCCGCCTGGCCTCTGTCGCCGTCTTGAGCACTGAGGATGTTATGGTTCCTGGGGAAGACCTCACTATTACTGTACTGACCTGACCTAGCTGCTGAACCAACACACAGGGCCCAATATAAGGATGAATGGGGCCCAGGGCAAGGGTTTATAAGGGGCCCAGGGCATGGTTTATTAGGGCCCAGGGCATGGTTTATTAGGGCCCAGGGCAAGGGTTTATAAGGGGCCCAGGGCATGGTTTATTAGGGCCCAGAGCAAGGGTTTATAAGGGGCCTAGGGCATGGTTTATTAGGGCCCAGGGCATGGTTTATTAGGGCCCAGAGCAAGGGTTTATAAGGGGCCTAGGGCATGGTTTATTAGGGCCCAGGGCATGGTTTATTAGGGCCCAGAGCAAGGGTTAACTTTAGGGAACCTTTTTGCACTTAATACAGCTCATACAGTAGCGCCTGTGCTCACCATCTGTCTCTTCATAGTTTCCTATAATGTGTTTAAGACTTGATGATATAATTATGATGAAACAATAAATCAATGAACTACAGTATAATTATTAAGTTTATCTACAGCACAATAAACACCGTCAACACCACACCATCAACACCACACAATAAACAGTCAACACCACACCACACAGTCAACACCACACCACACAATAAACAGTCAACACCACACCACACAATAAACAGTCAACACCACACCACACAGTCAACACTACACCATCAACACTACACCACACCACCACCTGCACCACATCATGTTAATTAATCTTCACCTTTATCTTGTTGTATTTATTTCCATCTTTATCTTTTGTTTAGTTTCATTGGTTCTTCTTGTTAACATTGTACCGTAGTTATGATGATAGGGCTGTTGTTTATATAACTTACTAAACGCTTATCATGGGGGTGCACCTAACTTGACCTGCTTCAGTGAGGAGGAACAGGTCAACGTGTATTTGGGTCAAGTCTTAATACATGTGAGGGAATTTAAAAAGATTTTCTCTCGAGGGTTGAGTGAGCACCTTACCGGAGAGAGAGAGAGAGAGAGAGAGAGAGAGAGAGAGAGAGAGAGAGAGAGAGAGAGAGAATAGCCAATGGAATATGGGCTTATTCTTTTGTGTTACTTTACTGCGGGAGGGGGGGGTGGAGGAGTGGGGGAGAGAAGGATGGGGGGGTGGAGTAACAACACAGATACAAAATCAACAAGAAGAAGACTGGGACAGTGTATTGACTCCTCAGTGACAACACCACACCTTGTGCCACACCATGCGGGGGCTGGGGGGATGAAGGGTGTGGTGTGAAGGGCGGTGACCTCTGTGTGTGTGGAGGGAAAGAGAGGGGGGAGGAGAGGGTGGTGGAAGATGTGAACCCTTGTGTGTGGAGAGGGTGGGAGGGGTGGAGGGGATGAAGAAAAGGGCGGGGAGGTCGTGGGAGGGGTGGAGGGCGGTGACCTCCACTAACATGTGGGAGGGGGAGGGGAGGGGGGCTCTTCATATGTGGAGGGACGGGAAGGTGAGCTGTGAGCCCTTGTTGACCCCACAGAATCTCTCTACACACACACGCAACATACACCCAAATATACACACAGGCACAAACATCCAACATATATACTGACATACACGAGAGATGTATATTACTCCTGCTCTCAAAAATGGTCGTCGAAGCCTTGATTCCACCCCTCCCCCACCACGTGACCTCCCTCTTCCTCCCACATGACTCCCTCTTCCTCCCCTCACGTGACTGCCTTCTCTCTCTCCTCCCTCTCCACCTACACCCCTGTAACCCACCATCCACAGGTCCTGTAGCCACCACCATCACAGGTCCCTAGCAACCACACCATCACAGGTCCCTAGCGACACACCACCATCCTGGGTCCTAGCAACCACACCACCATCCACAGGTCCCCTAGCAACACACCACCATCACAGGTCCCTAGCAACCACCACCATCACAGGTCCCCTAGCAACCCCACACCACCATCACGGGTCCCTAGCAACCACACCACCATCCACAGGTCCCTAGCAACCACACCACCATCCTGGGTCCCTAGCAGCCACACCACCATCACAGGTCCTAACAACCACACCATCTGGGTCTGGCTTAGCCACCACCATCACAGGTCCTAGCAACCACCACCATCACAGGTCCCTAGCAACCACACCACCATCACAGGTCCTAGCAACCACACCACCATCACAGGTCCCTAGCAACCACACCACCATCACAGGTCCCTAGCAACCACACCACCATCACAGGTCCCTAGCAACCACACCACCATCACAGGTCCCTAGCAGCCACACCACCCTACAGGTCCTAGCAACCACACCTGCATCACAGGTCCTAGCAACCACACACCACCATCACAGGTCCCTACTTAGCCACTGCCACCATCACAGGTCCCTAGCAATACTACCATCACAGGTCCCTAGCAACCACACCACCATCACAGGTCTAGCAACCACACACCATCACGGGTCTGTAACCACACCACCATCACAGGTCCCTAGCAACCACACCACCATCACAGGTCCCTAGCAACCACACCACCATCACAGGTCCCTAGCAACCACACCACCATCACAGGTCCCTAGCAACCACACCACCATCACAGGTCCCTAGCAACCACACCACCATCACAGGTCCCTAGCAACCACACCACCATCACAGGTCCCTAGCAACGGCAAGAAGACATGTGTCTCACCTGGCCCCGGGACCACACCTCCACCTGTACGCTCACCTGTAGTAAAGGCCACAATAGAGTGGTGTGCCCCGAGCGGGTTACGCCTTTACTGTACACCTCAGAGGATGTTGACGTCTGTCTCCACCCCCCTCCACCCCCTTCTAATTCTTGCTCCTACTCTCTCTCTCTACCACACCCCCTCTCTCTCTCTCTACCCACACCACTCTCTCTCTCTACCACACCCCACTCTCTCTCTACCACACCCCCCTCTCTCACCACCACTCTCTCTCTCTCTACACCCCACTCTCTCTACCCACCCCTCTCTCTCTACACACCACTCTCTCTCTACCACACCCCCACTCTCTCTCTACCACCCCTCTCTCTCTCCTTCCTCTCTACATTACCACCTTCTCCTCCCTTCCCCTGTCTCCCCCCTAAAAATCTCTGTATTTTTTATAGTTTTGTTGTGGTCTGTAGTTCCCTCCTCATCCTCACCCCCTTCCTATCATGCCCCCACCCCTCCATATCATGCCCCCACACCTCCCTATCATGCCCCACCACCTCCCTATCATGCCCCCACACCCCTCCATATCATGCCCCACCCCTCCCTATCATGCCCCACCCCTCCATATCATGCCCCACACCTCCCTATCATGCCCCCACACCCCTCCATATCCTTGCCCCACACCCCTCCATATCATGCCCCCACACCCGCCTGATTTAACAGATTACAGCGCCGCAATGGGTCACAAATCCAGATTACACTTACTATAAATAACTCGGTAAATATGTATATATGTAGATAAAAAACTCCCCTCACATACTAGAACTGCAGTAGAGTATTAGTGAAAGATACTGTATCACTCGTTAATACCGAGCGTGTGTCACTCTGTATCACTCGTTAATACCGGTGTGTCACTCTGTATCACTCGTTAATACCGGGCGTGTGTCACTCTGTAGCACTCGTTAATACCGGGCGTGTGTCACTCTGTATCACTCGTTAATACCGGGCGTGTGCTCTGTATCACTCGTTAATACGGGTGCGTTCTGTCACTCGTTAACCGGGCGTGTGTCCTCTGTATCCTCGTTAACCGGGCGTGTGTCACTCTGTATCACTCGTTAATACCGGGCGTGTGTCACTCTGTAGCACTCGTTAATACCGGGCGTGTGTCACTCTGTATCACTCGTTAATACCGGGCGTGTGTCACTCTGTATCACTCGTTAATACCGGGCGTGTGTCACTCTGTATCCTCGTAATACCGGGCGTGTGTCTCTCTGTATCACTCGTTAATACCGGGCGTGTGTCACTCTGTAGCCTCGTTACGGTGTGTGTCACTCTGTATCACTCGTTAATACCGGGCGTGTGTCCTCTGTATCACTCGTTAATACGGGCGTGTGTCCTCTGTATCACTCGTTAATACCGGGCGTGTGTCACTCTGTATCACTCGTTAATACCGGGCGTGTGTCACTCTGTATCACTCGTTAATACCGGGCGTATATCACTCTGTATCACTCGTTAATACCGGGCGTGTGTCACTCTGTATCACTCGTTAATACCGGTGTGTGTACTCTGTATCACTCGTTAATACCGGGCGTGTCACCTGATGATTAAACACCCCAGCTTATGTTACCTGATGATTACCCATCCCAGCTTAGTCACCTGATGATTAAACACCCCAGCTTATGTTACCTGATGATTACCCATCCCAGCTTAGTCACCTGATGATTAAACACCCCAGCTTATGTTACCTGATGATTAGCCATCCCAGCTTAGTCACCTGATTATTAAACACCCCAGCTTATGTTACCTGATGATTAATCCCAGCTTAGTCACCTGATGATTAAACACGCATTTGGATGTTTAATCTCAATGTGAAACAAGCTGGAACGAATCTTTAGGTTATCTGATAAGTTACACAGATAGAGGACGAGGTCAACACTCCTGAAAAAGCTAAGTCCTGGAAAAGATGACATGTCTCCTGAAAAAGCTAAGTCCTGGAAAAGATGACATGTCTCCTGAAAAAGCTAAGTCCTGGAAAAGATGACATGTCTCCTGAAAGTCCTGGAAAAGATGACATGACATCATATCTTTACATATATATGTAACTTAAGCTACATATAAAGGAGCCGATGACTGGGTCGTCAGCTTGGTCACGGTCACTCATTACTACGTCAAGTCATGCATCAAGGAAACTCACCCGTCACCTTTTTACGTTTATCCTCTTCGCAAATGATCGGCTCACAGTTCAGTTGACTCACCTAATATGTGTATCTTAAAAATAATCCACCAGGGTGTAGTTATGACCTTGAGAGGGAGAGGAGGGGGTGGAGTGTTGACAGAAACCAACGCTGGCTCGCACACTCACGCGTCCTGTGTA